ATTGTCAACAATCAGGACTATTTTTTGAGTCATCAGGTAAACCAACCGAATTCAAATGTCACCAAGCCTCGGGTATAAAATGATTTTCGAACCAATCATTCATCAATGCTTGTGTCATCCATGCTCTTTTATTTGCACGATATATAACAGGGAAAATCATTACTCCTTTAAATGCTTGAGGTCGTGCAGCTTTCCTATTATGAAAAGTTTGCACTTGTATGTTCCTGCAGCATTTGCGCACGCTAAAATTTTTAGTTCGCTTTCGAATCTTTGACACCAGTTGGAGCCTTTTCTGTAGAGGTTGCCAAGGTATTTCAAAGTACATATTGACAGAAAAAACCAGTTTAATCAGCGTTGTAAATTTATTCTGGAGATAATTGTTCACTAGTAATGGGTTCAATGAATTCATCTGCAAATTGTTCAGCAGCTTCAGTATCAGCTGAAGCTTTTTCACCTGAAATTTTTAATTGTTTTATACCATGGGGATTTTTTAATTTGATTAAACAACTTGTCAAATATGTGCAATGTTTAAGTTCATTTCTTCAGGAAATATTTTGTCTTGGGCCATTAGCATTGGACCCGTCAATGGTACACCCTCGCTGCAATGCTGTCTGACCCATTCAATAATCACTTTTAGCATAACGAACCCTTTTTATGTTATTCATTGCAAGTAGGGTGTCAGAATCCACAAAACATTCAAAAAGTTCCTTTTTCTTTTTGCTTATATCATATACAGTTGACTTTCCAATGTCATACTCCTCTCATAATTTTGAAACGGATATGCCTTTTTCCATTTTTTGCAGCAATTCCACTTTTTGTTTGATGCACATTGAAACATGCTTTCGCTTTGTGGATCCTTTGGCAGCTCCAGAATTAAAAACTCTTTTTGACACAATCGTAAGCTTAATTTTTATAAAATTTCTCTCACAGTCTGCAAAAAATAATAAGCCGAATCCAATGAGAAGGTTAAGGAACAGCGCAATTCGGAACATTAACTGAAATGCCTTAGAATCAGCAAAGATAATTTTAGCTACATTATACTATCCATTATACATTAAACGTGCATGCGTCAATGCATGCACGTTTAATACACAAAAAAATATTCGTGGCTTTGAGGTCCGAATTATAGATCATTCTGGATAATGGACGTCCGGATTATGGACTTTGTACTGTATTTGGTAAAATAATTAGTATGAAAGGGGGGATTTTCCCCCCTGTAATGAAGGAGGTATTGGTCCAGGAAAGGTTGGGAATCTCTGAAATATACATTCTTTTGAAGAAGGGGAAGGCACCGTGAAGAAATTTATTGTTTTTATTGAAATAAATATTGCCAATATATAGAGCTTATACACAGCTTATATGCAGGTAATGAAATGATTAAAAAACCTAAGCCCTATTAGTGGCTAGTAATTGCACACTGAATGTTCAAATCAGTAATTATTGAAACCCTCCCTGGTGGTGATGCATGCTTGTAAACATTGAGGTATGGAGGGATAAAGGTTCCTAATCTCATCTTGTGATACATTCTACCAGGTATTCCTCAATTGTTGCTTTAGATCTGTGATATTTCAAGGTGCCCAAATCTGACAGCCTATTACACTCATGTCCATAAATTACGGATAATGCAAAATCAGGCAAAGGAAGAGTTATAAGCAAAACAAATTTGACTTATTTGTAAAGCTTATTTATTAAACAAAAGGTAAAGAGCAAAAAAAGATGCTATATGTTTGATATTATTAAAAAAATTAGCGATTTTTCTCCCTGGAGCAAATGACAAAAAACACCTATTTACAAAAAACCAATATTACATGGTTGGTATGATTGTTAATACATTGTATGTCTCCCAGACGATGCAATACAGTCCGTACAACACCTAGGCATGCTGAGTATCAAATTATCGATCTGATCTTGGGGGATATTAGACCACCCAAAAAGCAATGCTCTCCGAAGTTCCGGTATCCGGTAGACATGTAGGAGGAGGTTGACGGGCTGCAACTCGTTGGCCAAGCATGTCCCACACGTGCTCTACTGGATTCAAGTCTGGTGAGAATGCTGGCCAGTACATACGGGCGATATCCTCCGATTGAAGGCATTCGCTTACGATGTTTGCACGGTGAGGACGGCCGTTGTCATCCATAAACACAAATTGTGCGCCCGTGGCGCCCCGAAACAAACGTACATGTTGTTCCAGAATGACGTACGATAGATTTGGCTTGTCATGGTTCCAATTTGAACATGCAGGTCAGTTCTGGAACCCAGAATAATTCCACCCCAAACGAGCACTCCTGCACCACCGTAACGGTGTCGTTCAATGATGTTTTCGTGGTGGTAACGGGTACCTGGAGCTCTCCATATGAAAGTCCGTCGAGAATCAGACTGCAAGCTAAACCTGGACTCGTCGGAAAACATCACACAAGCCCACTGTTGCGGTGTCCACAATGCATGCTCTCTACTCCAGGCTAACCGCAGGCGACAGTGATTTGCAGTAAGTGGAATGCATCTGACAGGTCTACGAGCATATAGACCAATCTGCCCTAAGCGTCTGTACACGGTCTGCCTTGAAATTGTCGTACCAGTGGCTGAAGAGAGCTGACGAGACAGGTCTGAGGCTGTGCTCCGCCTGGTTCTTTTGGCAGTAACTGCCAAATACCGGTCCTCATTCGGCGTTGTATCTCTGGGGCGACCTGTGTTGTAACGTCTACTCACATTACCATCATCTTGGAATCGTTGCCAAAGCCTGGAGATGACACTCTGGGCAATTCCAAGTTCGTCTGATGCTTCCAGTTGGGTACGCACACATTCCAGACGGCCGATAATTCTACCACGTAAAAAATCATCCAAATGCGTCTTTGTGTCATAACTATTCGGTTACTGCACTGAAATTTTTATAAAGCGCCTGCGAACAATTTTATTTTTTGCCTGTATTCCTTATATATCACTCTCTTACACTCTCATCATTGTGACCTACCATCGGTGTCATCTGGTTACTTCATGAAATTTGCATATGATTCTTGAAGATGTGTGTAGTGATTTTACAGGTGATATATTTATTTTAGAGTTCGATTTCTGTGTGACTCCGAATTATCCTTAATTTATGGACATGAGTGTATATCCCATATGTGTTTGATTGGCAAAAGGTCTGGTGACCTTACTGTCCAAGGGAGAATATCAATAGCTTAGAGACCGTACAAAGATATGCGAGCCATATGGGGTCTAGGATTATCCATTTGGAAAATGGCTGCAGCATGATGTACTGTAAAGAATAATGCAAATGGCCACAGAATGTCAGCATATCATTGATCATCTAAAGTTGTATGCGGGATACTGGGGTTGACCTATTGTCATAAGAAATAACATCCCACACCATCACTTCAGTGAGAATGGCTATATGCCTTTGTAAAACAAAGGTTGACTGGAACCGCTGGCCCTCACCCCTTCACAGACAGGTCCGATGGTCATCTCTTTTAAGACTGAAGTGGAATTCATCGCTGAAAACTATGCAGTGCTAGTTGGCTGACAGCCATGATGATTGGCTACAACACCACTCCAGACTATTGTGTCGATGTTATGGGGTTAAAGGAAAATCTTAAAGGCCACTCTGAGCACAACTATGCCTCAGCTAAGGACCATGAGATGGTGGAAGGTACCATGGTTAGTATAGAAGAGGCTGTAGCATGTTGGATAGCAGAAAATGATGCTGTTAGGGCAGTTTGGGCCTGTCAACACAGTCATCCGATTTTACCTCACATTTGGCTTTCAGAGCCTTGATTCTTGCCAATGAGTACCTTGCAAAAACCACTGTTGCCAGCACCTTCGTGCAGCTGTGTCTGTAAGGTGCAGGTAGTAAACTATTGCTCAGATCATGACATTGCTTCACACATCTGCACTATGCAACAACATTCAAAGTTGTCTAGTTGTCTGTAAAGTCTTATGTCATAATTAGATGTGTTTTCAGGGAATTGTAATGCTGACAATGAGAAAAGATAAACCGTCTACAGTTGTTTTATATGATGCTAGTTATGGAGCAGAAAAGTGGGTTATGATTGTAGTTAACACTTATTACCCTTAAAAATTTAATCACTTGCATACTCGATATGAAGGAATTTACATACAAAATTTCAAGATAATCAGAGTATTTTTTCTAAAAAAGCCTTTTTTTTTTTTTTTTTTAAATTTTCCAAGTTTTAATGACAAAAGTTATGCTGGTGTAATAATTACGGGCATTTTAAAATTAAAATACATGATAATTTACCTTGAAATTTCATGTGCATAAATATTTTTTTTACATTAATAGATGGTTTAAATTAACATTAATAATGAATGTGATGTTAAAATGCTAGTATCAAGAATGAAAGATTAATGAACTCGTATGTAAAGATTTAATGCTGCACTAAGAATTCATATATTTTCCTCATGTCAGATTAATTGTGGGAAAAAAAAGGTCTTCACAAATGCTAGAAAAAATTTTCTATTTTTCAAATTCTATCCATTTGTTTTATTTATTTATTTAAAAATTGCTTGAAAGAATTTGACAATGTAAACATTCTATATTTTTAATAATATCCATTTAATTACATTTAATTATGAATTTATGCACATTTTAATCTATCGTAAAACTATTCAGTTGGTATTGTTAAATTTTATGATAAAAACAGTCTAGAAAGTTTACTAAATTAGTTGCAGATTTGATGTTTTGCAATTTTATTCTAAACAATTATAATATAGTTAGAAATGAAAATTGAACAAGCATGTGTATACAAACTGCTAAAAACTGAATAAGCATATGTATACAAATTAAGATAAGAGCTTGAGAAAAAATAGCTTTTAAATGTTCTTGGTAACTAAAAAGTGCTTTATCTACCCTCCCATCCCCCCAAAAAAAACTGCTTCATACTTTTCTGCAAATATAAATATTTAAACATATTTTTTTCTGGAATTTTGCATGTATAAGATTTGTTTTTTAAGCTTTTTTGTTGATGATATTTTAAATTTTTATTCAGGTGTTGGTGGAATGGTCATAAATGAAAAAAATCAAGTTCTAACAATTCAAGAAAAATACCATACAAAACCTCACTGGAAATTGCCTGGAGGTTATAGTAATCCAGGTGTGTATTTGCCTTACAACTTAAAAATTGAATTTCAAATCTCTCCTTACCTATATGTTCAAGAATGTATTGCTAGTAAATAAAATTGGAAAAGCAAATTAAATTTACTGGCTGATAAAAAAGTAAATTCAACATGTAATAATTAATGCAAAAGTGCAGTTTTCAACTGTGTACTAAGTGTTGGATTGAAAGATTGTTTATAACTAGGAATCAATTTACTATACTGGAGGCTTGGAACAAAACCTTCATAGATGCCCCCCTTTCTTTTTCAAGGCATTATTGAGTAAGTACATAAATCATGGAAAAAATCTAGTAATATTTTTTTTTTTCTTCATTTAAGATGATTTAAGCAAAACACATTTTAGTTTTTATACATTTTATTTATTTTGAGTTGTGCAAAATATAAGCTGATCTATTTAAACCTCGAGTCTTCATATATCAAAAGGAAAAATTAGAAAAATAAAGGAGAACCTAAAGAGTTCTTTTTGATTTTGTTTTAAATATTTATTTAATTACATTACAGAGGTTAATGTAATGTAATTAATAATATTCGTAAATTTAATAATCAGAAATATTAAAATGTAGAATTGAAAAGTTAGTTTCCCTGAAAATTTAGTTTCACATTGTAGCTTATTGAATAACATAACTTGCCATCAAAAGTGAGAGACAGTGGCTTAATATTTAATTTCTGAAGAAATAATTTAAAAAGCTAAAATTTTATTTCTGCCTAATTTTATATTTTTAAATTTAGCATTGAAAAAATTACATAAAACTTGACATAATTTAAATACTGCAGTTGGATTTAGAGCCATCACCTCCCGAAATGGAGGTGTAGGGTGCATGATATGTTTACGCTAGTGGAAACTGGTTTCTAATGGTGTCTAAGTGTCTGCTTTTTATGGAAAATTCAACATTATTCACATTGTCTGTATGCTTACAGAAACTTTAAATTCTTTTAGAATTTTTAATGATACACATACTTTGAACCTAGGCACTTTTCTGTTAAAATACATTTGTAAATTTCAAGCACAAAGAAAATTTTAAATTCTTTTATTTTACTGATTATTATCTGTTCATTATGAGCATGGCATACACATACTCATAATTATCTGTTATCATTTTACTACATTTTTTATTTGTTTAGATGAGATATCTAACACAAGGACTGTTAAAAATTTTTCCAAAATTTTTTTATATTTATTCCGATTTGATTTCATTATCACAATAATGTCTGATAAGTTGCATTACATTCCCGTGACTTTCTTAAGATTCATCTCATCTGTGAAATATTTAATTTGTGATTAGTCCATATGTTATCCCATTTTGTGCAAGCCTTTGTTGTATTTATTTTGTAATTTTAAAAATAGGTCAATTTCATAAAAAAGTGTGCTGAAAGAAAGTTTGCATTAAACTTGGAAAAATTTTAAGAGCCCCATTAAATGTTGGAACAAGAGTATGATGATCTCTACTTAAATTATATGTATAGTGTTATAAACAGTTTAACTTGTTAAAAGATGACTGAGCAATCAACTGACAATGATTTCCATTGTGGGTGTCCTTGGATGTCAAATGATAAAATTCATTTGGCTCAGTTTCATGAAATTGTTTGGGCAAATCATCAAATGATTGTAAAGAAAATTGTTGATAGCTGTAACATCAATTGGATCCTCCATCAAACTTTTACTTTTGATCCACTGGGTTGTGTGCTCATCAGCCTGTTGGATCCCATCAATGAAACTGGGGGGGGGGGAGAATTTCAGCTTAGTGCAGCGTTCTCCAAGATTTGATTGTTTTGTGTGAGCAATATTGTAAGAAGGATGGAAACAGAGGAAGTGTGCTATTACACTATTATTGTATAAGTTGGAAGTGCACATATAATAAGGGTGCAGATATAAAGACGTTTTTGCCAGAATAAAGACAACTGTACTTTTCCAGTCGTTGTAATCTCCTGACCTTGTTTCAAAGATTTTTTTGTTTTTCCAAAACTAAAATTTACTATGAAAAGACAAATGTTCAAAACAGTTCGCAAGCTAAAAGAAAATATGCAAAAAGAGAACATGCATTTCTGGGAAACTGCTGCATGAATTGCAAATGACATTGGCAGCTATGCATCAGTCAAAAATGAGCATGTATTTTGAAGATAATAAGGTTAAGATCTAGTATAAGTGTGCATAAAAATATGAAAAGTAAAAGTTAAAATTTCTGACGAGACCTTATGTACTATTTCATGCTGAACTCGTATGTGTTTAATGCCTTTGCATTAAACACATATATACACTGTGATATCACTGTGATATATACATTGTGATATCACTGTGATATATACACTGTGATATCATATATATACATATACACTGTGATATCATATCATACATATACACTGTGATATAGCTTTTTTTGTGGAGCCAAAAAGAGACAATGACTGCAAAATTCAATGTACATTTCATTGTGTCTATCCAAAAGTAGTTCACCACAAACATGAATAAGACACATCCTTCATGGTGATCAGAGAATTCTTGGCCACAGCTGACACATGTTAGGTGAAAGCATAATACTAATTTCACTTCATTGCTTTTATCAGTCGTTCCTTTGGTCAGATTCTTTTATGTATGAACAAACAACATCCTGATCAGCTTCCATTACAATGTCTTTAAATGAAAGAACAGAATGCAGTGTTCTCCAAGTATGATAAAATATTAAAAAATTATATAATAATAATTTTTAAATGATTAAAATTGAACATGTTGTAAGTGTATGTTATTAAATAATTAAATAAATACAGACTATTTTTATAAAAAATAATTTTACACTGTGATTTTAAATTTCTTTCTGCTGTTTGACGTTGAATTTACTTAACTAAAAGCTTATTATTTTCAATTTTTTTGCATTATGTTTATCGTCTATCGCATGGTTAAGTAAATGTATTTATTTAAGTATCATCATGCAGACTTAGTGTAAGAAAAATTTGTGTTTTTAATGAATATTGCTGTTTGAAGGTTTTAAATTTTTTTATTTATTTAAATTCATTTTTTAAAATTAGAATGAAAGTAAGCATAATACAGAGTTGCAAACTCTCTTGTTCTCCCAGTAGATCTCTGAATCTCATGGTTTTCAATTTTTAGTCTTTAATAAAGCAAATGGTTCCCAGAAATATTTGATATTTATTGATTAATGAAACTTTAATTGTGCAAATTCCATTTCTTCACCTCTAATGATTTTCAGCTTAATATTTTTTTTTTTTGTATTAAATATTATTTGATTTGAATTAAGCTGATGTGGATATCTGTAGAACTTTTTAAAAGATTCAGACATTTAATCAGTTAATATTTGTGTTTATTTTATTTTGAATCAATAAATTGTTGCATGATTAAGTTTATCCACACAATAGGACTTATATTAATTATTGATTTTGTTTTCATTACATTTAAAAGTACTTTTCTTTCTGATCAGCTGGATGGGATAAATAAAAGCTTTTCTTCCCTATTCATTATTTTCCTGGCATAGAAAAAAAACTTACCAGCGCCGAGCAGTAAAATTGCTAAAACTGGTAGTTCGAACTGGTATCGCTGAAACTAGTAATTGCTAAACTGGCAATTCAATTCCTGACATACGGTTGGCTGCATGAGCATTTTAATGGTTTCTCCTATGTGTAACATGTATACGAGCAGTTCCCTATCAAAGTTCTCCACAAAGACATCCCTTCTCCTAGGAAGATGCCCTAGTGTGCTTTGCAGTAATCAGCTAAATCAAAACCATCCTAGTATAAAAGTGAGAAAATTACCAAATGACATTAGCAAAATAGCATAAAATGTATCTGATTAAATATTAATATATTTTACATCAGAATCATATTATAAATAATTCTGTAATCTGAATCATTTTTATAATGAAAAATGAAATTTGAGTCAATTTATTCTTTTGAAATGTCATTGCTGTGCAGCATGAATCTCCTGGGGACTCAATGTTTTTCAATGGAGTACCTCTCAATTTTTCCTCTTACATGGTTGGCAGCTATGATAATGATATTGCACATAAATTACAACATCTAACTAAAATTAAAATGATTGTGCAATGAAAATACAGGGTGTTTATAAAGTCCCAGACCCATTTTGATTTTTAATAACTCATAAAATAATAAAGATAGATTAAAATTAATAACATAAATGGTTAGATAGACTCAAAAAGTTTCATGACCCTTGTCAATGAACTTCCATGTGTGCCTCCTTCGTCGCATGGAGAATATCAAGTCGATATTCAATTTCACGCCAGGTTCCAGCAAGCATGTGTTGTGGTGTATGCATTCTTAATATCCAGTCGAATAAAACATCACATACAAAAATACTAGAACAAGCACATGAAAAGTAAACATAACATTGCCATAGTTGCCAAAAACAAAAGAGAGAAAAATGCAATTAATAAGCAGACGATATTTAGAAAAGTACGGATATTTAGACTGGAAAATGAAATTATGAAAACCTGAAAAGTAAAGCTGAGGTTATTCATCAATAATGCCATAAGTTTGTTTATATCTTCATTATTATGAGATTAAAATGGGTCGGTATCAGTTCAACTGTTTCTACCTTCTTCGGAACATACAAGGACCTGACTCGGAACAGAGAGCTTACTAAAGCTATGTTCACTAATTGTAGTAAGTAGACAGGATACACAGACGAAGGGTATACAAAACCCTTTATTTTTCTCTATATACAATGACTTCCGTACTTCGGAATACAATGACCCGCACTCGGGGTCTAACGTTAAAAGTATAAAAAATAAAACTAAACTCTAATTTAACTTTAGAATAAAACGTGGAAGAAGATTGGCCTTATAATAACAGGAAGCGTATGTAGCACAGAGACTGTGAACACTACAATACGTTTAAAATTTATCAAGAGGATTAAAACCTCTGGCCTGGAAGGCAAAGTAGCAACTGCGTAACTTCTAAGGTAAGCGGCCTGCTTCGAACTCACTGCTTCTCTCTCTCGCTTGGCAAAAAGGCCACAACTTAAATACTTGGCGTTCGCCAGACAAACTTTGCATAAAACCTTCACGCTTATAATTCTGGCCGGAAGGAAGTAGAAAATAAGAAGTGATAGTAAAGATTTAAAATAAAATAAACGTTAGTAAAACTTAAGATCCTTACATACTTCCCGCCAGAGTTAATTAGTTTGAAACTGAGGTCTAAAACGACCTTGTTGAAAACTTTTAGCTCTAGAAATCTAACGCGAGGCCAACCTTTTACAAATAACTTCGCTAGAAACTAGAAAATTTAAAAGAAAGAAATTTGTTTTTACAATAGCAGCTCCCAGGATATACAACAATTTTTTTTTTCATCTGTACTGCATCTAAACAGGAGCTTTTATTCAATTCTGGTTCCTTCCAGAGATCTGGAAGGAAAACTAGTTTAATGAAATGTTACAGAATGACATTGGCAAATAACATATAGAATTATACTTTCTTAACATTCTTATTTCATTCATGACTATTTTAATTATCTCTCCCCGTGCTCTCTGACATGTGTTGTAAAAGAACACCAAACACGAATGTGTTTCTGTCTACGTGTTCCACACTTCCTCCTACAATCAAAACACTAACGTGTTAAAATTCAACATAACGAGACCTCTTAACACACACCCTAATTTCAACTCTAAACCCTGAGGTACTATTCTGAAAGTGGCTAACTCTAAAGTGTAGCGTCAGAGAGCCTAACTACATCATTCAACCTTTAACACATATTCGCCATGATTTAATCTTTACAGTCACACGAATAACAAATTTTTAACATTACTTTCACTTTTACCATATCACGGTATTTCTTAACATTTAAAATAACAGTTCACATGTATATAAGAACATATCAACATGCCGTTAATTTTACACATTTGAAAACATAAATTAGTAATTCATTGTTAACTTCTATTCTTTTCAAAGCAAGTGCCAATTCTTTCTACATTCGATCACACATTTAACAACTGTCTCAAACAGTAGTTCTGTTGAATAGCATTCAAAAGGAAATATTATTCATCATACATTAGTAGTCTGGAACCTTAGTTGATTTTACTTCATCTCACAAAATAAACTCAGTTCTTCTCTACGCTCCCCATTTCTTTATATCTTTCAAAATTTTTCTTCGATTGTTCCTTCTTCCTTATCACAAAACACAGCCAGCTCACCCTTTTATTTTTTCTGCTCCTTTATTCCCCCCCCGTACCCTTTATTTCAACAATATTTTTGCTATTATTCTCTATTCTTAATTACCAATCAAAACTGACATTTGGCATAACCATGCTTTACCTCATCTTGCATTGGTCAAAGGGTATGTTACACCGCACTACCTAAGACGTAGGGAGAAAATAAGATTATGCTGCTGAGATTTTTCTTTTTTGCCCTCAAAAAGTCGTAACTTTTCCTGCCATTTGCACATTGTGCAGCAGATCAAAGGCATTAGATGAAATGATTGTTATGAAACAGTAAGTCATGTAGATAATCTGCTTATTATTATTTTCCTAAATCCAAGGGCAATTTTAAAATAAGTGTCACTAAACATATAAAGGAACATTTTCTTTCAAAGCTACCACTTGTAGTACCACCCTTAGTGTACTTTTCCTATTTTATTAAAATTCCTTAATTTCAGAATCACTGGCTTTTAACATCTCTACATATAATAAAACAAAGAGTCTGTCTGTGTGTGTCTTTCGTTTGCGCTGCACGTAAGCTAATAGACCCACGGCTACGAAATTTGTACATAGGTACATCTATAGACAAGAGCCAGTGTTTTTTTCGAAGAATCGATTTTTTCGAAATTCGAATCCGATTTTTTTTTATTTTATGTTTTGTGATGAAATTGCGTCATTTTGAGACAGAATGGGCTATAGGAAAGCGAGATTTTACTCTACACACTCCATATTCACATCTTCATGAAACGTTGGCACTTAGCTATTTTACAAACTTAAAATAAATCCGTGTTTCAGTAAATCGATTAAATACAAACTTATTTAACAAAGGGAGCTTAACACCTTTTCAATGGGATTTTTTCTAAAAAAGTTTATTTTTAAAAAAGTACAGTTTGTTTTTCTTTGATTTTTGGACACGTTAAACTTTCATCCTTGCGACTGCTTTTACAAAAAGAATTTTGGAAAAATTATAATATTTTGTATTTTTAAAAGATTTTTAAATGAAGCTTCTGAGTACACTTCTCACATCTCACATCTTTAAAAATGTGATTTTGGCAGCAATAGATTTTTGATGAAATCGCATCATTTTGAATAGTTACATTCTTTTAGAAATATGGGTTTGGCAACAATTTTTCATCGTATTTCTTATGTCACTGTTTTTAAGAGATTGGCAGATTTCATTGTCATTTTTATATATGTATAATACGTTTTTTTTTTTTTTTTTTTTTTTTTTTGGTAAAGTTGTTCTGCAGAGTAAAATTCTGCGCAGAATTTTATGTTTTTTGAGTTGCTTTCATGTTATTTTTTGCTTATTTCACTGTTTGTAAGATATTGGAAAGTTTTGCATGATTTTTTTTTTCTTCAACGGAAAGTTGGTTGATTTTTTATTAGGATAATTAATATTTGTATTAAGGGATATAGCTTATTTCATTGTAATTTTTTTCTCTTGAAAATATAAGATAAAATATCATTAATTATACTTTGCTTTTCAGAATTTTTTGCATTTTTTTATGTTATTTATTGCTCATTTCACCATTAAGATATTGAAAAGTTTTGAGGTATTTTTTTTAGGAAACAAACTTCTTAACCTCCTTTATACCATTTGAGTTCTTAAGATTTTGCAAAGGGAAGTTGGTTAATTTATTTATTAGGATAATTAATATTTGTATTAAGGGATATTGCTTACTTCATAGTAGTTTTGTTATACGTAATAACTTTTTTTTTATGAAGTTGTTCTGCAGAGTAAAATTCTACGTAGTTTTTAAATTTGAGGTTTGGTGTTCCCTTCAGCCATTTTTCTGGTACATTTAAAAGCCAGAGGAAGGCTGGCAGCGAAGCTGCTAGTTCATGCATAAAAAAAGGCATTCGCCCCCAAGCAATGCCCATTCTTTTGTACCTCAACAGGCTCTTATTAGAACCACAGAAAATGCCCTTTATTACGCTACGAGAAACTAAAAGGTAAAAAAATTAAGGATCCTTTATTCTGAATCTTTTGTCTATCTTTTTCTCTGGTGCTTGCAAGATCCACTATCACACCAAAATTATCCACATTTCCATTCAAGGAACTGAAAGCAAAGAAGTTAATATTGTTGCATGTGTACATGTTTGTAACAGATTGAATGCACACACAACTGATGATAGCTTGATAAAATTTATTTTACCAAAAGGAACATTCTTGAACTTTCCACAAAAATAATCATTAAACTCTTCACAAAGTACAATCAATAATTATGCTTCAAATTACTAAGGGTTACCATTAAATACAACGCAATGCAAAGCACATCTAAAGTGAGGTTCATGCAGAAGTATCTCAATACTTAAACTTATGCTGAACTAAACAACTAACAACTGCTAGTCTTATACAATTTTCCCTTGGCTGCCAAGAAATCTCTAGTACTTTTTGCATCTCAAAATTACTGGTAGGCATATGAGGTCAAGGTATGGCTATAGCTAATAAAGGAATAAATTGCTATTTATTCACTTACAATATCATTAGAGTTATACAGGGACGAACCAAAATGTTGCCACACTTTGTTGCCAAAAACATTCTCAGCTCTGCGATATCTCGCCAAATTAGCAAGATAGCCATTTACTCAATCTTAAATAGACTTGCTTCTGTATTCTTATTTTTCCGGCAGAGCATCCTTTTTTTTTTTTTTTTCTTTTTTTTTTCAAGCTTTTCATGTTACATTATACCCAAAAATACAATTTCACATATAATTTCACTAAAATTATCTATCTATGTACAAAATTAATAACAATATTATTTGACCTTCCCTGAAATTTTACTATTGTGTAAACACAACTGATTTACGCAAGTATGGATTAAAATTTTTTTTTTTAAATAAATATCAAGTAGTTGCATTTTCTAAGTTTTAAAATTAGTTCATTAGCTTATAAACTGCATTTTAAGGGGTTCTGTTATAATAAATAAATTATGTAATTTATATTTCCACGCCCAATGTTGTAAACATACAAGAAATTTTTCCACAGTGTATTCATGCATCATATTATTATCACCATTAAAAATTATATAAATTTATGAATGCAGTATCATATTTATAAAATGTATATTTATGTCACAGGAAGTTAAATTTTAGTTATTAACATCTTTTGCAGGGGAAGACTTTGCTGACACTGCTAAAAGAGAGGTTTTTGAGGAAACTGGTATCGAAACAGAATTTATATCTGTAGTGGCTCTTCGGCATCATCATCAACATATTTTCAATTGTAGTGATATATATGTTGTTTGTCATCTGAAACCAATTAATGAAATAATTCAAAAAAGCAAAGAGGAAATTTCCTTCTGTGAATGGATGGATGTAAGTATCATTTTGTGTTTTTGTGTATTATGTTTGTATATGTATTTAATATCATCATTAAAAATTATATAAATTTATGAATGCAGTATCATATTTTTTAAAATATGTATTAATGTTTTAGGCAGTTTAATTTTAGGTATTAAAATTTTTTGGGGAAGATTTTCTCTGTAAATGCAGATATCATTTGCATATATATATGCAAGAAAAATAAAGAATATGTTAAAGATTAAATGGGTAAAGTAAAAAATATGAAAGCAAACTTCTAAATTTAATTCACTGTAACCTCTTTTATTTTTTATATCATTTGGGAACTTCATCTGTCTGTCCTAAAAATAGTGCTTAGGTCTAAACTGTGTCATTCAAATTAATCAAGCGATCTTACGTAACCGTGCAAGACAGGTTACTATTTTTATAATAGAGAAGGGAAATTTACATTGCTAATTAATCTTTAACATATTCTTTATTTTTCTTGCATATATATATTGTAATGTATTTTGCAGTAATTTACAAAGCAGACAATCTTCTTAGTAGAACATAAATTTTATTTCTAGTTCTCGGTGATAGACAAATTTTATACAATTCTTAAGTGGCAAAATTTTAATACTACTCCTAGCTGTAAAATCTTCAGAATACAAAATCTTTTTAAAAATCTTCGTGCTAGTATGTTTGATACATATGGTGCCACTCAAATAATAATTTATTATAAATAAAATACACCTCCCCCCCAATAAACTTAATTTAACTACTTCTTATAAATAGTTATCTACTAAAGGGGGCAAAGTGGTCTATATAGACCCCTAGGGGTATTTTAACAACAGTAGGGGTCTATCTGACCCAAGGGGTCGAATGGGGGTCTATTGGGACTCGAAGGAAAAACAGTTCTTAATACGCAAATCACACATATCTAACTGCGTACGTAAAAATTTAAAATATTTTTATAATTGACTTAATATTATATTCTTTATAGAAAATAAAATAATAAATCAGAAAACAATCTGCCCCTTTTTTCCTTATGGGTTTTCGTATGTATACCGTGACGTCACAACTTGACCTTGTGACCAGTTTGTAATTTGCACGACTCATAGTATGTAGCCAGAAGAGCGATTGAGGCTTATCCGTGTCTCTTGCTGGCGAACCCATCAACCAATTAGGAGCCTTTGGCGCAGACTTGGCGAGCGACGACACTGCCGTTGGCTTTCTATGCATTAAGCGCGAAGGGAATCTTCAGTACTCCGTTTTCTTTCTTCTTATGTGTGTGGTTTTAGTTCTTTTAGTTTTTTCTTTTTTATACGGCAGTTACGCATCGTGTCGTTGGTTCGCCCTTTGTCTCCATCGCAAACCATACGAGCCTTGCATATGAGTCAGATGCATATGTGCGCTTGTCCAATTCTACACTGGATGCTACAAACGCAAATATCATATGCATTTTCAGCTATCTTTGTGAACTGTGAACAGTATTAAATGCTTGTAGTGTCATTATTACTACTATTATATCTACCATTGGATAATGAGTTATTGTTTCTATAAAACTATTCGTTTAGTTTTGATATCAATTTTAATTATTGTTACTTGTGAAAAGGTAAGCTTTAATAATGTGGATTAGTATAATATACCAACTTAATTTTAACTTATTTACAGAACCCTAATTTAAAAATGACAGCTTCAGTATCTAAAAAGAAATGTCGGTATTATTCATTGGATTACTTAAAATTTGGATTTATTTGTTCACCGACAAATGAAACTATTCCTATGTGTCTTATATGCGAAAAAACTTTTGGAAATGAATACATGAAACCGTCAAAAATGAAAGATCATCTTGAAAGGCTTCATTCAGATAAAAAAAATGAAGAATTAGAATTTTTCAAAAAACTCAAAGAAAAATTCACATGTCGACCAACTCTAAAAAGTTTTATGAAACAGTCTACTGAAACTGAAAATGAAGGAGGATTAATTGCTTCGTACAAGATTTCGCTTAATATAGCAAAGAGGGGAAAACCCCACACAATCGCAGAAGAAATTGTAGTACCTGCAATTAAAGACGTCATTGAGAATGTGATGAAAAAAGACTCTACTAATGTTTTAAAGTCTTTGCCATTAAGTGCAAATTCTGTAAAACGGCGTATTGACGAAATGGCCGAAGAAATAGAAAACACAGTAGTTTCGGAGCTAAAAAATTGCAAGTTCTCTATACAACTTGATGAATCTGTTTTTGGCGTTTCTGCTATTCTTATGGCGTATGTTAGATATTTCAGTAAAATTAAAGGAGAAGTCATTGATGAATTTTTATTTGCTAAATATCTTGAAACCGATGGGAAGGGAAGGGAGTGACAATTTTTAGATGTTTACAAGAATATTTAAATAAATATGACATTCCGCTTGAAAATATAATAGCAGTAGCCACAGATGGCGCACCTTCTATGGTAGGGGCGTTGCCGAGGTTTTGCTACATGCCTCAAAGAAAAAGTGCCCGGTATTCGTACTATTCATTGTGTGTTGCATAGACACAACTTAGTAGCAAAATATCTGAGTTCAGAGTTACATGAAGCTTTACAGTTTTGTATTAAATCTATTAATCAAATTAAAGCTCAACCTCTTAAATCAAGATTATTTGCCAAACTTTGTGAGGAAAACAATGAGTTATTTAACCAATTACTTCTGCACACCGAGGTTAGATGGTTGTCTAGAGGTGTATGCTTGCAACGGCTCGTCAATTTATTTGACTCCACGACAGAATTTCTGAACGAAATAAATCCTGTTCTAAGCAATGAACTCCAAAACAATAAGAACCATATTTTTTATTTAGCAGACTTATTTGGAAAATTTAATGACGTTCAAACAAAACTGCAAGGAAAAGATGTAACAATTATCCAAGCTCGGACAATACTGTTAGGCTTCCAAGTAAAATTAAATTTATTTAGATCTTCATTGCTACGTAAGGATTATAAGTATTTTTCAAATCTGCAACAATTAAAAATAAAAAAAGAAGACTTGGAAATATATACAAATCATCTTCAAAAATTAAGCGACGATTTTAAACTGCGCTTTGTTGATTTGGAAAACATCGACATCCCTGATTGGATTATTGCGCGCCATTTTCGGCGCAAATTGATAACGTCGACATCAACATACAAGATGAGCTTGCTGAACTATTGTCCGATCTTGAAGCAAAAACGCTTATTAAAAATTTGACAATACATAAATTTTGGACTAATATAAATATAAAGCAAAAATATGTGAAACTTTACGAAATGGCTCAGCCATTTATGCTGGCGTTTCCAAGTTCGTATATGGTTGAAGCCGGTTTCAGTCACGTTAATTCAATTTTAACTAAAAACAGAAATAAATTAAATGTGGAGCTTCGAGGGGATTTACGGTTAAAATTGACTAATTTCGAACCCAATATAGCGAACCTTGCCAAGAAACACCAGGCACACTCATCTCATTAAGAAGTAAAAAATCTGTAGCTACTTTACTTACTGTTTCTGATTTATTAAATATTTAGACTAATATATAGTTTTATTTTAATTACCTGAAAATTACCTTTGTGGGGGTCTATGGAGATTTCGAAAAATTATATAGGGGGCGATGATCAAAAAAGTTTGGCGACCCTGATCAAGCAGTTTTCCGATTCTTCCTCCCATTAAGAAAAACATTGAGATGGACCGATGTGGCGACTTACGAACGCTGATCTGACCGGTTCGGATATAGTCCGGAACGAGTTGGTGTTCAATGACCCGAACCAGCGTGAAGCTCGATGCGTTCCAGTACAGCAGAAAAATTTCGATTTGAAAAGTCCAAAATCAAGGTCATGTTAATCACTTTCTTCAATTGCGATGGACTCATTCATCATGAATTTCTTCCTCCTAACATGACTATCAATGGACAGTTCTACACAGAAGTTCTTGACCGACTTCGAAACCGAATTCTTAGAGTGGGGCCTCATTTTCAACAAAATGTGAGTTGGCTGCTGGTACATGACAATGCCGGCCCACACATTGCGTTGCCTGTGAGGCGATTCTTAGCCCAGCATGGTGTTGAAATGCAGCATCCACCATATTCTCCAGACCTAGCATCCGCAGACTTTTTCCTGTTTCCTAAGTTGAAAAATTCGCTGAAGGAACAAGATTTCAGGATGTCGAAGCCATCAAGAAAACTGTAACGTCACTATTAAAGAGCATTCCAAAAGAGGACTCTAAAACTTCTTTCCGAAATTTGTACAGCCTAGCACACATGTGCATTACGGCTGATGGGGATTACTTTGAATCATATTAAATGGCTATGTTTTAACCTTTATTTCTTCTGAATTATTCCATGAGTCCTGGAAATTAATAGCCGGACCTTGTAAATTTTACAGCAATATTAACTATTCAATCAAAATGCTTTGAGAACCAAAACTAACTCAGTTTGACTTAAGATTTCATCCTGATAACGCATTTTCTTTCTACGCTTTGCCTTAGCTCGACTGCAGTCTGTCTGCTCTTCTGTTTTGCTGCAAATCTATCAAAAATGTAAGCCTTTTGGAACAAGCACATTTAATGTGCCGACTTGTATGTAGCCGCAACATGTTGCTGAAAATAAAACTGAAGATTTAATCTGCCTTCGTTTCCAATTTCCTAGTCATTGTGGATCAACAATTCTACGCCATCAAAATTCCTGCTCCTGAATATATTACATGTATATATAAATAGGCTAAGAATTAGAATTAAAACAAATTTTAAACCCGTCCTGCATTATAGCTGCAGGATTGAATTAGAATAAACTTCAAGCATCTAAATTTATTATTAAATTGGAATAAAAGCAAGGCAATTTCTCTATAATATAATAATTGCAACCGTGTAGAAGAGGTTTCACATAATATCAAAATAAATCCAAATACAGAAAGAATTGTTAGTGGAAGACACTCGAAAAATAAAAATACGAAAGGGAAAATATACAAAATTCTACAAATAAAAATTAATCTTCTTTCATTGAAACTCCAATTCAGAACTGATGAGGGAAAAATGAATTAAAGCTTCATAAATCATAAATGTCGACTAATACGTGTCGTTCTCCTGGTCCTTTTGAGATCAAAAACCGTATAAAGATTTCATCAAAGTTTTATTAAAGACTTTAAAATTCACATAAAACCTCGAATCTGAAATGTGCCAGAATTTTCCCTACACGTTTTCGAAACCCTTGGAAAGAAGAATAAAACATAACATTGTGGCAAAATGACAATTAAAAAACCATAGAACTGAACATTATGTAAATTAAAATTAAAAAAAGAAATTGGTTTAAAACCAGTAGTATTTGCTAATCCGAAATTCAAAAGCAAATATAAATAAAGAGCAAAACTAATAGTCATTTAAACAAAACTAAAAAATTGGGAGGTCCCCGATTATGCTAAACTAAACTTTTAATACTAAGAACACGAAAAACTGTACATAGAAGAGATTTCTATAAATAAAAAAAGTCAAATCTGAGCCTTAAACAGCTAAAAACGGAAAACCTATTTGAAACAGGATCTATTATGTATTTCATTTAAGAACTTTATTTAAATTTTGCTAAATCTTGTATTCTTAGTTTAAAAGCTTAAAATTAGAATTAAACATTGCTTATATTTTCATTAATAAGCGCTTTACATAACAAAACGTTACATGCATTTCTATTAAAATTTATCAAAAATTGAAACATCATTATATATATAAGACCCAGTATCTCGAATTTTTTTCCCTTACCGAGAGATAGAGGTATGATTTTATCAAAGTTCCAAAATTGTTTGCTTCTTTGTTCTGCTGTGAGCTTTCGAATACGCGTCGAGTATGCTTCCGATTACATCACGAAGGCATGCGAAAAGGAGGGAGAAAATACCTTATACATGTTTTCAGATCATCTCATTTTGCAGCAAAGCTATTGTGATCTATTGTAATGTAAATAATTTATGTTCACTTTGTGTTTAATGATATATTTTTTATTTAATATATCTTAAAGCAGGTGGAATGGAAGAAATTTAACTCGTTCTTTCTTAGATTTCCTTTTGAAAAGCATAAAGTATCTTGTCTTTTACCGAAATTTAGTAGTTTGCGATAAATAGTAGTAATCATCATCAACATAATATTAATTCGGAATATTTAAGTTTGTAACATATTTTTGTAATGCCTTCAAATGATTTTAATTTGATTCAAACGAATCAAATCTGATTATTACTCGTTTCCACATCCAGCATTTTCGGCGTCGTATGCGATCTTTACTAATGCTGCTCCAAATAATTAAACAAAATAATAACTCAAAGAAGAGAAAAAAAATCTGAAAGGTTTCAAATTTTAAATTACGTCCAAAGGGGCGTTTTTAAAACATTTTGTGTGTTATCTTTATTTATTAAATATCATGTTCTTCGCACTTCAACCATTAAATTCAGTTCAACAGCAATATCGCAAAATAATTTTAAATTGAGCATATCTTAAGAATTTCCGATATGCAGTCTCACGTGCTGGAGATAATTTTTTTTTTTTTTTTTTCCCCTTTGTACAACTTTGCAATCGCTCGCTTTGAAATCCTTGTTTGTTAATCAAAAATTCGTTAAAGTTTTACAAAATATGAAATCGATAATAAAACCAATTCCAAATTTCAAATTTGGGCTTTCAGATGCCCATGTTCGCAGTAGGATTACGTAATTCAAAATTCGATGGCTGCAGGTATCGTTGTTTTATCACAATGCGAGAAACATACATACATTTATGCAGATTCTTCATTACTTATTTTCTTCAAGTATAATATAGGGCGATAATATTTGGTGGCGACAGTTTGAAAAGTGAAACGGACGTTCAGAGTAATTCGACGCAAAACGAAAACAATTGTCCCTCACGGACAAAGCCCCGAAAATATACTTCTCTTTAGTTGTCGATTATGAGAATAACTTAGCTGGGGCAATACGTCCCTTATGCTTGAGCCGCCCTTGATTATTCCGATGTTAACGCAGTTACTTCCTTCTTTTTTTCTTCGAGTAATCCATTGCAAAAGAAAAGGTAATAGATACATTTATGTTCTATCGCCAATTGATCTATCGTTATTTTCATGTAAGATCTTTGAAACACATTAATTATTTCCAGAATCATCAAAATTAGTTACAATGGCACAAGTCGGTGAAGTCTTAATATACGTGTCCTAGGACAGGGTAATTTGTTTGTTATAAGCCGTAATGTTACGAAATGGTTCATTAAATAATACGACCTGTATTTGCTCATTTAGGGAAGTTAAATTGACCTAACTCCACCTGTTACACTTTCTTTCCTTGGCCTGTCGGGAAAGTTGGCCTGGAGGCTTCGATTCTTCACACGCCATTCGAAAGTATAAATCTGACCTTTCGAATATTACCGAATCCTTGGAAATAGCCACTCCCTTTCGAGCCTGAACTGGATAAACGTCCTTCGTATTCGAATCGAGCAAGATCTCGAGGTTCAGTCTGACGACGCAGTGGAAATTGATTGTAATTCGTTCTTTCCTGTGGCCGTGGAATGATATAAAAATGCTGATACAGGTAAGTTTCTTTTTCATTTGAGATCTTCTGCATTGCTTTGTCCGTAAAATGAAACAACTTTAGATAATTTACGTACATTTCTTAATTTTTGTCTGTTGTTTTTTGGTTGCTGTTTGTTTTTTGGTTGCCAACTCTAAAGGATAAAAAATATATTTCTTTTTAATTTTTGGAATTATTTTTTTAAATGCGTTAAGATACTTGAATTTAATTTCTGGTAATAAATTTGACAAAAGGTTCTGATTTTTCTTGGCATAGTGTGTAAATATATGAGTAACTCTGAATCTTATTAGTATCTTTAAAAAGAAAGAATTGTTTAGTACAGTTTTAAGCTCAACAGTAATTTTTAAATTTAGTCTCTGATATTTGAAACGAATTATTTTTGAGAGAGAAGAAGGTGTTAGAATTATATGAAAACATTTTTTTTTTTTTTTTTTTTTTTTTTTTTTTTCAGTACGTTATTTGTTTCCTTCCTGGCATTTTGCATAAATTTCTTGATAAATTTATAGACTCCTGCGATCACTGGAATGACTGCATGGATTCAGAAGGCCAACTGTATTTATTTAAAATTTAAAAAAATAGAAAACTAATTATGTGAAAAGTGCTTCCCTTCTGCAACCAAATTCATGAGAAAATAAACATTAAAATTCTTTTTAAGAAACTATGTTTTTTAGCTTTTGTTTTTATTTAAAATATAATATCTATAATTAAAAGTGTTATTTTGGGAATTTCTTGATAAATTCTTTTAAAATATAGAACACCTGTATTTTTTATCGTTCCTAAATCTTTTCTAATATTTCTAACGAAAATGTATTAATAATGCTCTTTTCCGTTCGTCTGCAGATATATTTGTTAGCAGTTTTACATTTGTCCAAGCTAGCATCTTTATACCATGTTTAAACGCACTTATTTGATCTGTAGAAAATCTCGGATTTAATTATCAAATAAAAACAATAGTTGACCAACTAGGGCAAAAAGAGTACATTAATTTCCGGCAATTTTGCTATTTCTTTTTTAAAGTCCTTTACGAAATATTGCTCTCAAAAGATCTTGAATCGGAGGCGGAGATCATGTCCAATTTAATCTTCAATTATGCTCGCTCTCTTTTTTCTCTACCCTTTGTACATTACGAATAATGCAAAAAGTACTAACGACAGAAAAGACATGCGCTGGCATAAATGACCATTAATCTGCACGCTATCAGTATTAACTACTAATTAGGGTTGATATGACCTACTAAATGTACTGAATATATTGAACTAACTATACTGGTTCTTCAAAGAGTCTAGTTACATAATTTCAAAGGATACATTTAAAAATATTAAATAAAAGTATTATTGATAAAAAAATAATTGCTACAGAAATGAAGCTTTGCATATTAAAATTATGTAATGGGTATTTATGGGTAAAAAAACTTTATCATCACATCAGTTGTTTGATGACCAACAAAATATATCGTTTTCGGATTTATATGGGAAAATTTGGTTCGTTTCCTTCTTCCGGATATATTGTATTTTATTATGTTAAACAGTAAATAGAAATCAGTTTTAATTTTGGGAATCGTCCTGAAAATTTTTTACCTTCTAGAAATCGGGTGGGAAATACTGCACTTCCAGGGAAGAATGTGTTATGCTATTTTCGTATCTCCTTATTATGTTACTTTGTGGTAAACATGCCCTTTTATTTTTTTTAAAAATATTCTACGAATTAGTTTTGTTACCAAAAGTATTGTTTGATTATTAACGATCCCCCCCCTACAGTAATCTAGATAGAATTTTTTCTTTTAATATTATAAACGTCCTTAATGGAGTCTTGTTAAAAATTTTGGACTTTCGTTTGTTACGCTACATGAACATAATATTGCCTAATCCAGGCATGTGTTGCCACTTTGTGAAACATAAGCACTTTATCTTCCATACGGCATTGCGGTTAACCAGTTCTCTAAATGTTGCCACCTATAAGACATAAGACATTTAATTAAGATTTGGAATTAAATTAGCCTGGTATCTTAATAAAACAACGATTTGAAAGCAATATAGGTACTAATTAGGGTTGATATGACCTACTAAATGTACTACTAATTAACTATTATAAATTATTCATTGAGGTTCTATAATTTCGGGTAATGGAACGTTTGTGTTCTTATATTCACGTAACGGAAAAAAATATCTCAAATTTTGGAATTCACTCTTGCAAACGTTCTTATGACGCATCGTGTGACAGATATTAACTTCCGTTCCAATGGTGAGTTTACAGCAAAAAATGTTTTACGTGTGAGCAGAACTGGAGTTTCGTTGGGTCATGTGTCGAGTAATAAGGGAAGCAAAAATAATAATGAAAAATAATCGGCTTTGATTCATGAATAAGAGCATAATTATTTAAATTTATAATTTGAAAAAATAATTATTTAGCAATAATTAACACTTCGGAAGAATTTGTAAACATGTGGGCTTCCTACATTAGGTGCACTACATTATGCAATTTTAAAGGTGGACTACATTAGTCTACCTTTAAAATTGCATTTGTTGTAGCATGTTTAGACTATTACATAAGTTATTACTATTAACAATCATATTCTGAAATAAAAAAAGTACAGAAACTTATAAGTAGTTTTTAAAATTATGTAATTCTTCCCGGCCAAATAGAATTCCATAAGTGCAGTAAAAAACTGTAATGCGACACTTTATTCCATAAAATGCGCTCGTCCTTGCTTCATACGAAGGATGCTATTGGTAAAAAAATTCTACATTTGAACACCTCGTAAACGCGTAACAATTTATTTGCTTTTTTATAGCTTTCCTCCCAGCGTTTCATCAAGTTCGCGGCTTTCTTTCGAATTAGTTTATTACCATTGCTAAGAACCAGATGTACCAGATGCTAAGAACCAGATTGTACCAGATGACAAGACAAAACGAAAAATAAATGCTATGATTTCATTTAACAAACTGTATATCTCACTGAAACAGAGGGACCTCTTCAAAAATTTTTTGAGCTCTCCTGAAGCTTATGCTGTTTGTACTTAACAGGATTAATAGTGTAACGAAATGCCCAGCTGCGATAAGATAGCTTCCCTGCAAAGCAGGTTTAGAGTTGCCAAAAAGTAGTAGACGACCAAATTGACGATATGCCATAGACGGAGCGATAATATTTTTCTAGAACACATTTTTAGCTGTTTTCCCGAGAATATTCTCGAAGGTAGGTTAAAGCTATATATACCCTCCCTATACGAGTAGAGTAGAGTATCTTGACTAGATTAGCTTGAGATCGATCGAGTGAGTCGGAAACTGTACTTTAGTGCTTTGCCGTGAAGCTGTCTTTATCGTTATAGTCTGAAAGCTGTGTTGCTGATAGTTTCAGCGGGTTTATCGTAGTTTTTCGACGACTGTAAACGTGTCTTTGGAACTGTTCTGTATCATACTGGCGAATAAATTGTGTTTTGATTCATCATCAAGTGTTATCATCCAAATCCACAAACCCATAGAAGGCAACAATACTTTCAGTTCTTTTTCATCCTCTAATTTTACGGAGAAATTTCTGCTTTAATTGAACTTGACTTGTTAGAACTTTTCAGTGTTTAGAATATACAGGGAATAAGTGAACAATCTTTGCCCCCCCTACCAAAAAATATATTACAGTTTTTCAAGATTTAATTTCATCATTAACGACCAAAAATAACCAAAATAATCATTTGTGTCAATTATGCATGGAGAAGAACTAAGAGTTTGAGATTTTTCTTCTGCTTAATGAACTCGGAATGATGCTTAATGATACTACTATTATTGTCGCATAACAACTGAACTTGAAATTTCTTCTACTATTCCACCTGTTTTCTTTATGTTTGCAATTTCACAAATGGTTTTCTCTAATAACTCGTGTTCTGTTTTACAAATATGTGTTATTCATAGAGTCATTAGGTTATACCAATGCAGGAAACGAAAAAGGTGCGCTGCCTTCGCCGGGATTCGAACACCCGTTCTCCAGATTGCTATCCGGACGTACTATCCAGTTACGCTGCGAAGACACAAGGAAAGGAACGAGAAAATATACATGTTACTCCTTTTAAACAGCCATTGGGAATGAGGGGACCCGATCTTCAAATCCTGGTTATTGTCCACCATCTTTTATTTCGGGATCCACTTGCTGAGTCATTCTGTTATATCGATGCAGGAACATTAGGTTTTATCATAAAGAATTAGGTTATATCGATTCACCGAGATTCGAGCATCGGGCCTCTCCTGTTATTAACCGGATATGCTATCCAGTAGTTACACGACGAAGGAACGTGGAAACCAGGAAGAAAATATACCTCCCATGACATCATATTTTCACTTCTTACTTTGGTCTTTAAAACTGAAGATTTTTTGTCAGATTCTGTTTTTGAAATTTTATTACCGTAATCCTTTACTTTATTTCCCGTTCTATTATTTTATTTACTTGAAGTCTCACTGTCATTTTGCATTTTCTTTGAAAATGCCTTTTAATTTGCTTTCTTCTCCTAACGTTTTCTTCAGCAAACCTTGACTGAATTTTCTGTTTATACTTTAACTACTGCATGATCGATATTCATATAAATAAATGGTATTTGTCTCGTCTGGAATCAATTTCAGATATTGCAAAAATATTCTAGACATCAAACATCTAATCGTAGATACTAAAACTTCGTAAAACCTGATTATGGAAAAGATTTCTAAATCTTCTATTTGTGTTCAATCTAACCTGAGAATACTTGATATATCAGAAAGCAAATCAATTATCTCCCCAAAGAGTATAATTTCATTGTTTCTAGTGGTGGCATTTTAGAAGTTGAATAAGAAAATATGAATATTGTCGAGGGAAAAAACTGGAAGGAAGCTTGAGGACAGAATTTATCTACTAAATTTCGAAATGGAAATTTTCTGCCATTGCGAAATTTAAAATTCGACAAAAAATAAACCTTAATTTGGAGCAGATTTTGAATGAAACTTTAGTGATTTTGAGGGCACTGCTTCTGAAGAAGATAAATTGTCCCGATTTCGATAGAGTTTTATTCAAGATCTATTCCAAACTAAGGTTTATTTATTTTTGTATAACTTTAAATTCTAAATTTCTCTTGAAAACTGTTTTAATCGTATGGGAATCATTGGATGGCCAATCGGAAGGGGTTCAATTTGGGGCATATTTTTGGAGGTCCGAAAATTGTTAGTAATTCCAGACTTATCAGCTCTTCCGCAGAAACGCAATTAAATATTAACGTATACCAGACCAAAAAAATACTGACATTAGTCTTTATTGAGTTTCTGCCAGAAAAGACACTGTCATGGTCCTATCAACTGACAATTTTGATTCCAAAAATTTTAAATAGAGAAATACAGTTTCAGTGAGAAGTTTAACCTGTATTAAAATTTACGTATGTTTGTTATATAATGGTTCTCTGCCGTTGCCATTCAAACTTAGTTTCTGTCACAATGTTGCACTGTAATCAGTATTGGGTGCAATGCATTTATGATTTCCCTTTCTTTTTCATGACTTCAGTGAGCGTATTCCATGTCTTTTCAGAATTCGCGTCTGTAATTTTAATTGATTGTAATAAAGCAACACTTTCATCTTTCACAGAAAATTCAACATATTGTAATTTCTGACTATCACTTAACGTATTATTACTTCCAACACCTATAAGTAGTAAATCGAGAAATGAAATTCAGTTAATGTAATTAAAACTCAACGCTAGCAATTCTAATCGAGGAAGTTTTAAACCCGTTTACATTAGTTTTAAACCATTTATGTTAGTTAAACCGTTACATTAATATTAATATCATTATTTACAAGTTCTCATGACTCTTCTTTCAAAGTAATTTTTAATGCATCCAATTTACAGAACAATTCATGCATTTCTGTTTTGTAATTATAAAATTCTGCGTCAGAACAAATACTAAGAATTCATTGTTTAGATTGTTTTCTTCAATCATTAAAGCACTAGCGTCATTCTCATACACTTCAATAAGAGAATTTTCTTTTAAAAAGTAAACTAGTAAAAATGCAAAGTATCTACGAGCATCTGTAATTCCACCTTCTTAGTAGTGACAAATGGTTATTACTACAGAGGTTTGAAAAAAAAAAAAAAAAAAAAAAAAAAAAAAAAAAAAAAGAATTAAAATTTTAATTTGGCTATTTACTGCAACTTCTATTTAGAACTAGTTTTTACTGCACATAACCGAATTGCGTGAAACTGACTTCTAGGTACAGAATAAAATATAATTGTTTTCAAGATTATTTATTGAGTTGCAAAATAAATAAATTGGCTTATTAAATAGACCAATGTTGTTACATTTTGAATTGCATAGCACTTTACTTTTTTAACACTTACACAAATTAGTGATGCAGTTTTTGTGCACATACACATGGAAAATCTTAGGCTGGACTCTAATACATAGTATAAACGAAGCCGCATGACGTTGTAAGGATCTTAAGTTTTACTAACGTTTATTTTATTTTAAATCTTTACTATCACTTCTTATTTTCTACTTCCGGCCAGAATTATAAGCGTTAAGGTTTTTATGCAAAGTTTGTCTGGCGAACGCCAAGTATTTAAGTTGTGGCTTTTTGCCAAGCGAGAGAGAGGAAGCAGTGAGTCGAAGCGGGCCGCTTACCTTAGAAGTTACGCAGTTGCTTGTTGCCTTCCAGACCAGAGGTTTTAATCCTCTTGATAAATTTTAAACGTATTGTATGTTCACAGTTCTCTGTACTACATACGCTTCCTGTTAATATAAGGCCAATCTTCCACGTGTATTATTCTAAAGTTAAATTAGAGTTTAGTTTTATTTTTATACTTTTACGTTTTGACCCCAAGTAGCGGGTCGGTGTATTCCGAAGTACGGAAGTCATTGTAAATAGCGAAAAATAAAGGGTTTTGTATACCCTTCTTGTGTATCCTGTTTACTTCCCACAGTTTTGAACATAGCTTTAGTAAGCTCTCTGTTCCGAGTCAGGTCCTTGCATGTTCCCGAAGAAAGTTAGAAGGAACTTTGAACCTGATAACGTAAAGTTATTTGCTTATGCTTCTTTACTACAGAGATGTCTATAAATTTTTGTTTACAAATATCAAATTCAAATCTGGTATATACAGGGTGTATTAGTACAGCGTTGACAAGCTTTCTGGAGAGATGGAGTACACCTATACGATGGGAAATCACATAGGAATTGTATGGTCGGAAACGCTTTCCTGGCGCGGTAGTGGCGACACAAAAAGCAAAAAAGAAAGGGCACAACCAGTGAGACAAAACATGTTTTATTTATGTTTAGTACAGCAGAAACCTACAAATAAGAGCAAAAACAAGCAACGATCGTCATTAAAGAATGTGTTCGAAATTACGACCCCGAACCCTATATGCAGGCGTCACATCACCTTTGATCCGTGAAGCTCTGCATCACGAATGGAAGACGCGTGACGCGCGGTTTCTACATCACGGTCCGGCTCGTAATTTCGAATACATTCTTTGATGATGATCGTTGTCTCTTTATGTTGTTTTTTCTTTGTTTTTGGTGTATTCCGACAATAAGCATGTTTTCTCACCCCGTTCGTGTCCTTTCTTTCTTGACTTTTGTGTCGTCACTAGCGCGCCAGGAAAGCGTTTCCGACCATGCATTCCATATATGTGATTTCCCACCGTCTAGGTGTACTCTATCTCTCCTGAACGTTTGTTAACGCTGTACTCATACAACCTGTAGAAGATTTATAATACCATCCTTTTTACATAACTGGCATATATTGTCATCGGTCTTAAAACAACAGCGATTATATTTTTGAATACATCTTTAGCTTTTTTTATGTCAAGTTATTGTAACAATAGCAGGAAGCTGCGTTTTATCAACTAAAGATATCACCTTTTTAGGCTGTTGAATTAGGAACTGGCTTGCTTCAGATTGTGCTGCTGTAATGTTATCCTCAGTTGTGCAATTCAAGCAACAGTCTCGATCAAAGTTGTATCTAAGATAGCCTTACTTTTAAAGCATAGTATAAATTCTATTACTTGTGGTTTTTTTTTTCTTCTTAACTATCATAATCTAGGTTTAAACCTTCGCTATGAGTTTCCGTTGTGCTGATTTTAACATAATCAGAACTTCTCCTCAAATCTTCTTCCAGCTTTAAAGAAGAAATAACATCAATAAGAAAAGAGATGTAGTTAACTCTAGGCTCAACGCCAATCATAGCCTTATATGGAGTTTGATTAATGCCGGAATGAAACTCAAGATTTTTCATAAACTGTACAAAAGGTAGATTTTTCTGACAGTTTTGCGTTTTTATTATCGGACATCCATGCGACAGTCAGATTTCTGACATTTTGATTGGCTCGTTTAACCGAACCTTGGCTCCGGCCGTGGCGTGGCTTACTATATACAGTTATTGTCTGGCGATAAAGACGTAAATTCGTTTACAACGCAGCTGGAAATTTCCCAGCCGTTATTGCGAATACATGAATCATCCATGTCATTAAAACATTTTTATAACTGAATGTACATGTCTACGACCAACGAAAATAACGACTGGGTAAATGAAAAATTGCAAAAATAAAGGCCGGATAAGGACTTTACAGATATTTCATACAGTGAAAAATTGCGCATAGCATCTTCCAATTTGTAAATGTTGTTCAAGTAAACGTTTTATTTAAAATTATTTTTGGTTAAAATTTATAACAGTGAAATCTTGCTTTTGGAAATCATCGTGCATTCTGAATGCAAACTGCTCTTCTAAATTTTCTGTACATATAATTTCTGTTTCTTTTCAGGTTTTCTGTTTATTTCTTCTTTTGGAATGGAAGGTAGAAGCCAGCCCCAGATCATCAACAAATAATAATGTAAGAGATTATGTTAAAAAAATTGTTTTATTTTATTGTCAAATGTTCACCGAAAAAAAAAAAAAAAAAAAAAAAAAGAGGAGAAACGATGAAAAAGTTTTAATGACGTAATTACAAGTTTTAAGTAAGGTTTAAGTAATGTATATGTAGTGACAAAGTGTTGAATATCACGCCTACATCTTTAATTGTTTTAACGGTAATTCTTAAAAATATTAAAATAAATCAGTATTTTGTAACAAAAGATAAAAAGCTAATGCCTTCTAGTAAGAAAATCGAATTAACAGTTTAAAATAGAATCCTTCCTTATTAAAATATCTTGTTAACATTTTTGTTCAGAGTTACTTAATTGTGTGTGTTCAGAGTTCAGTTTGTTCAGAGTTATCTTAATTGTTTGTGTTCTATTTGCGCAAAATAATCTGCTAAATTCGTTTAAATGAAAAATATTCACTTGCAATCTGTAAATCGATTTTTAATACAACAACGAGAAGCAAGAGCATAAGGCATCAGTAAGTCCTTTACAGATAATAGAATAAATTTTCATAGACATGTTGCTTTCTATTTTATTAAATTCGATTATTAAATAGTTTTACTTAATGAAGTAATTGAAAATAATTATATTTTCTTATGTATACTAATATTTTGAAATGAAAATTATTGCTGAATTCATAAGATGCTTGGCATCATATCTCTGACGTGTTGACGGAATAGCAGCTCATGTGTAGTCGACTCCCTTATCCGAAGAAGATCCTAAAGCGCGTCATCTGAAAAATTTCGACGTGTTACATGTACCAGTATTTTCATTCGGATAAGTTTAAAAAGTTGTGCCATTCAGAAATGTGTATGGCAGAAATATACGATTTATAAGCTTTCATCTGTAACTTCCAGGCTGTGTAACAGATGGGAAAATGGTGTGATGTTTCGCTTTTTTTAATATTTGTTCCCCCCTCCCAATTTTTTTTTGTCAAGCAAATTATCGTATCATCAATCACTATTTACTGTTTTACGATCCTCCAAAACAACTGTAGCAACATGTCTAAATTTGGGATAAAATGTAGTAATACTTGTCTTCGTCTCAAAGTTCTTTGAGCAAAACTTTTCCAAGAATCGGTTCATTCCAAACTATCATTTGTGTTTTGTTTCGAATTCAGGCGAAAATTGAATCTTTACCTCTGCGTACAAGTATCGTTTTGAGCTTGAGTTAACAATTTATGGAATGTAGTGCATACATGGCTTTGGTATTTTTAACTCAGGTCCTTGAAATGTCCAAAGGTACTTCCATGCGCTCCAGTTTCATCATAAATGATGTGATGATCTAAAGTAATCATTTGTTAACATAGCATTGATATTTTCTAGCTTCACAACAATTCTTAAACAGTTCTTGGCTTCGCAACCGAATTCACCACTTAGACTTGTAAGGTTTATTCTAAGTTTTTAACAGTTATCTTTAGTTAAAGCTACTTTCCTGTCTCTTCTAATTTCAGCTTACACATTTCTTGCCATAGTGTGTTTTTAGAATCGCGATTAATGCAAATGAAGGAAGAGCGGTAGTTAAGTCGAAGTTCCACTGACTTCGTTAGAGAGCCTGAGATTCTGATTAGCGCGCGTTTCCTTTTGGCTACACTCTCTCTAGGCTATTACGCTCGGCCGTATTTCAGGCCCTTGATAGCTTCGCCATTTAGTTAGCATTTAGGGGCCAACTTCTGTAGAAGTTTGATAGCTTCGACTATATATTTTTAGTTAAGCATTAGTTAAGTTTGATTTTCTTAGTACTCCTGAGTTCAAGCCCAAGTGAAGACTTTTATGTACGTCCTGAGAAAAGGAATTTGGATGTTTATGTTTAACAATTCTGCAATTAAATTAAGCATTTAAGCTCAGGTTTCATCAGCAGAACAGTATTATCCGTCTAGAGGTCTCATTCCAAGTTATAAGGAATTATCGCTTTCCTCCATGCGTGCTATCATAGTGTAAATTGTAGCATACCCCAGTGGCGTAGCAAGCATAACTGGCGCCCGGGGCAAAAAATCTTTTTGGCGCACCTCCCCACAAAAAAATTTCAGTAATATAATGTATAGAATATATTCGTAATAAGAAAATAATGCAAATAATAATAAAATGCTGAATTTGCCATAAAATACTCAAAAATATATTAAGAATAGTCACTACCTAACTACACTAGCCTTGGATTCGGAAATGCATCTGTGTTGGCGGAAAAAATCAGACATACGATGATCTAGAAATAGTTAAAAAGGTATTATTTATTTTACATATTTATATAAATGTTTTTAAAAAGTACAATTTTTAAACAAAAGTTTAACATACATTATAGATAAATAGATATGTGGCAACTTGCCTACTACAACTCAACTCTCCAGTCTGGTAACCCATAGCAACCAAAAATAAAATAATATTTATTCTATTCAACTGTTATAATTATTTAACGATATGTCTCAAAAAATTGTACTTCCATAATTGGTGACCAGTATTTATTACGAATAGCAACCTTCAATGTTGCACGAATATGGAGTTTATATGTCAAAATTCTGAGCAGCAGTAAGTTATCCAGTGTGATGAGATGCAAGTAAGATATTTCACCTGTAATTTCAAGCGTTGTGCCGCATTCCGGTGAATCAACATATTTCTGTCATAATTTCAGCGGATATATGTATTGTCTGCTGCATTTGAGCCGCCAATTTCTCTGATTTCAAGTACCAATAAACTGTGTCACTATATACATATTCATTATTTTTCTATAATATTATTATTGTCCATATTCTATACATATTATTATTGTGCATATTTGATTGATCTAAAGTGGTTGAAAACGATGCTGCTTCACAATTGGCACGAGTGGCAGTTAAGCCACCGCCTTTTTGTCGCTGATGAATTTGTCGCAATTGAATGAACATCGTTATAGTTCATTTAATTGGATGCGCAGTTTAAATTGAGTCGCATTACTGCCGACGAAACTTAATTTTATATAGAGATCGCTGCGTTAGAATCAGAGGTACTGCAATCAGCTCGTGAAATAATTTTGAATCCACCAGCGACGGACAAGCACAAATCTTTTTAAAAAATTTAATTTCTGTTTATGAAGAATCCGTGACAATTAAAATCAAGAAGCTGTTGCACGATTTATAGTTGTACTCATATCAATGAGGACTTCTCAATTGCTGTCTAAAATGTCAGACTTAGCCGCCGGTAACCTGACGGATAACATTCTTAAAACATTATGGATGAATAGACTCCCATCTAACATGCAAACCATTTTAGCGGCCAGTAGCGAGCCTCTTAAAAATCTTCCCGAAATCGCTGATAAAATTCACGAGCTGGCCATTCCAGCGCAAATACACGCAGTGCAGGCTCCTAGTCCAGGTATTGTGGCGTTACAGGCTTAAATTGATGATTTGTCCAAACAGGTTGCTCAGGTTAGTAGCCATCCAAGCTGAACCTTTTCAGCCCAACCGCTCCACATCACGCGGTCGAAATACACGTCGTAACCCACCGAGGAAACGGTATAAAAGCCCTCCCTTAGGTATTTGTTTTCACCACCACAAATTTGGAAATAAAGGCAAACAAATGCCACCCACCGTGTTGTTATAACGTCCAGGGAAACGAGAAAAGCCGTTGCTCAAAGTCGTGAACGACAGCGGCCGGAATTTCGCACGCGTTTCGTCATCGAGAAGAATTCGGGCTTAAGGTTTCTTGTAGACACCGGGGATGATGTTTCCGTCGTTCCACCACATTTTCACAAACAAAAACGCCTTAGCTAGTTACAACTTTATGTAGCAAATGAACTCCTATTCAAACTTTTGGTGAACGCCTGATATCTGTTGATTTAGGATTGCGCCGCAACTTCCAATGGCCATTCATTATTGCTACTGTTTCAAGTCCTATTATTGGCGCTGAATTTTTACAAAAATTTTCTTTGCTTGTCGATCTTAAGAATCACCGTTTGATAGATTCCACAACCAACTTAACTTATCCGGGAGTAATTCTCAATAGTCATGATTTGAACATTAAACTGATTTCGAGTAACTCCCCATGGCATCAACTTCTCAGAGAATTCCCTACAATCACGCCCCCAGTTATGGGTATTTCCGAACCCAAGCACGATGACTACATTATATTGAAAGTACCGGACCTCCAATTGTCGCTAAACTAAGACGCTTACCTCCGGACATACTTAAAGCCAAAGAGGAATTTCAATACATGATGGAACAGGGAATTTGCCGTCCTTCAAAAAGTTCATGGGCCAGTCCGCTCCATCTAGTTCGGAAACGCAATGGTAAGTGGCGATTATCGCCGGTTAAATGCAGCTACAATTCCTGATCGTTAGCCAGTCTCACACATTCAAGACTGTATGCAAGTTTTAAGAGGGAAAAGCTATTTTTACAACCCTTGATCTTGAGCGGGCGTATCACCAAGTGCCCATTAACCCAGCTGATATTCCAAATTACGCCTTTTGGACTATTTGAGTTTCCGGTCATGACTTTCGGCTTATGCAATGCTGCTCAAACGTTCCAACGCTTCATGAATCAGGTGTTAAACGGCCTCGACTTTTGTGTACCTTATTTTATGACGTCTTAATAGCCTCCTCTTCAGAGCAAGAGCGCCTACCACATTTGAGAACAGTTTTTAAACGTTTTCAAAGGTACGGTGCCAGTCTTAATCCTTCCAAATGCGTTTTTGGCCAACCAAGAGTATCCTTTCTTGATTATGAAATTTCCGCTGATGGCGTTCGACCCCTTACAGATAGAGTCACCGCTATCCGCGATATGCCCGAACCATCTACAGTGAAGGACTTAAAAAGATTTTCTTGCTATGCTCAACTTTTATCGACATTTCTTACCTCATGCAGCAACCATACAAGCACCTCTAAATTCGTTTTTTGGATGGAAGCAAGAAAAACGATAAACGTGTTCTAACCTGGACCACAGAATCCAAAAATGCAAAAATGATTTAATTTCAGCAACGAATTTGCAGTATCCTTCCGCACCTAAACCATTATCACTCTACTTTTATAAGGTATTTCTCCCGCTTTCCTAGCGTGCCTTCGTGGTGTAGTGGTTCTGCACGCTGGGCCGGTACTCCAGAGGTCCGCGGTTCAATTCCTGGCGAAGGCAGTTGCTAATTTTTCAATCTCTCTTGCTTCCAAATATCATCATGTCTCTACAGTGGCGCCCGAATTAAAAGGAGTGTTGGTTGAGGATTCTCCACACCCAGGATTTGTCGGTTGGGTCCCCCTAAAAACCCCAGTCGCCCTTTAAAAAGGAGAGTATATAAGATATTTCTCCCGCTTTCCTAGCGTGCGTTCGTGGTGTAGTGGTTCTGCATGCTGGGCCGGTACTCGATTCCCGGCGAAGGCGTTTCATATTTTTCATCTCTTCTGCTTCCAAAAAATAACCTAATTTTTCAACACGTTGACGCATCAACAACAGATATAGGAGCAGTTTTACAACAGAAAGATCAAGAATTATGGAGACCACTTTCATATTTTTCTAAAAAACTCTCACCAGCACAAACCAGATACAGCACTTACGATCACGAATTATTAGGACTTTATGAAGCTGTCAAATATATTTTCGACATATGCTAGAGGGACGCGTTTTCATGATCTTCACAGATCACAAACCCTTAACCTATGCTTTTCAACAGCGTTTGGATAAAGCTTCTCCTCGTCAAATGAGACACCTAGACTTAATAAGGCATTTTCAACAGATATCCGTTGTATTGAGGGTACGCAGAATATTTTTGCAGACACCTTGTCTCGTATTGAAAAACTAGCCGTTCCTTCGCCAATAAACTTTGCTGCCCTTCCGGATGAACAACACCGGGATTCAGAACTACAAACCCTCTTGAAAAGCAACTCTTCCACCAATCTCAACTTGCAGCCTATGCAGCTCTCACCTGGAAAATCCTTTTATTGTGATGTTCAGGATTCAAGATTTCGACCTTATGTTCCCTACGGTTTTGCCATGCCATTTTTAGTCAGTTACATCGTCTGTCCCATCCTGGCATCAAGGCTTCGAGGAAACTGATACAGCAACGTTTCGTACGGCCTAGCATGCAAAAGGACACAGCCAACTGGAAACGTTCGTGCTTGGAGTGCCAAAGATCTAAAATTGTAAGACCAGCCAACTTAAAAATTTTAATTTGCCCTCATTTCGCTTCAATCACATGCACCTCGACTTGGTCAAGGCACTTATATTTATTATCAATAGCATAATACATGAATACAATTAATTACTATGTATACATTTTTCTTACCTTGGATGAAGTAAATTTATCATTTACTTCATCAAAGTCGATCCTTTCAAATTTTTCTCTTTTTACAATTAAAAATGCTAGATGACATAGAGGATCTTGTCCCATCGTTTATTGTAAATATGTGAAAATTTATTTTAATTTGCTGAATGAACGTTCATAGTTAGCATTTGATAATGAAATATCAAAGTAGTATTTGAATATAATCGACAACCTTTTTGAACAAAAGGAAATAGAAGAGATTATAAAGGAAAATTATAACGTTTACAAAGTTGGGAATATGCAAATTTAGTCTTTGACGTCGAAAACTATGCGTTTTAGATAAGGAGTAAGGAGCGACCTGCGGTATTCCTTTTGTAATAAGAGATTAAAAACAATTGACGTGCGTTGAATGCCTCGTAGCAATGAATATACGATGTCTCAGCAAGATGACTTAGTTGAATTGGTGAATTGGTAGCCAGGAAGGCCATCAGTCGTTTACAGGAGAGTCAAACGCAATCCATTGTAGCGGAAGAGTTAGGATTTTCCCAAAATGTCATTTCCAGATTATGGAATCGGATTTTGGAAGCTGGATATGTTTGAGAAATTCAGGACAAGGCCGTGTTATCGTTTTAAAATATAAAGCGGGAGATATATGTGCATTTCGTTTAAAAAATTAAAATATACCTATAATTTGGAAAAATAAAGTGGTCCGAAAGAACATTTTGGTTCATGTACTGCAAACATTTCATTACACATTTTATCAGATAAATCAAGAAAATAAATAATTAATTACATTACAATAGTTATTAATTTTAAATATATTTTCCAGAAATCGATCAAAATAAAAATTGAAATTTTCCGTAAAATCTTGTTTGGAGACCATTTGGCGCCCCTCTACGAGCATCATTCACCCCTTGCTTCCCTCCTCGCTACGCCACTGGCATACCCAGTTAACAGCTGAAAGCCCCCTAGTTCGAATCCTATCGAAGGTAGGCTGATTTTACGTCTTTCCTTCACCGTAAAAATATATTAGCTTTACAGCGGCCCCTGATTAAAACGTGGTGGACGACAATTCCTCACCATATCAGTTTTGCCGACTGATTTGGTTTCCTTCCTCTTTCTCCAGTCGCTCTTTAATTATTGGGGGAGGTTATAAAGTATTATTACCCTTTCCCTGTGCGTTCTCTCGGAATGTAATTGTTAGTACATCCGGCCATAATCTGTTACTTTAAAATGGGAAATTCAAGGTTACTTTCCACCACTTCGTAACCACGCGAACGATTGCTGCAATAGAGGATTTGAGTCGCGTAACTTTTTTCTTTCAGTCAATTTCCGTTTAGCGTGTTTCGCTTCATGAAATGCGCGCAAATAAAGTTTGACCTAAACTACAGTCTGAGGTGAGGTGGAGAAAATAAGTGCTACGAGGCTATGCCGACACGATCGCAAATGGAAAAAGTTGTCAAGGGCCTTGAAATGCCTATTTTAAAGTAACAGACTGCAGCAATCGGATGATCCGTGATTCGAATCCCGACGAGGGCATAACTGCTTTCTCAAGTTTTTGTCTCCAAAAAGTTAATAACTCTGCAAAGTAAGCTAAACTAGCTGATAATCAAATGCAAATACGAACACAATCTAAATAGATTTAAAAAATGATTTTAATATCATAATAAAATTGAAATAATATTTTGTAAGAGAGTTATATGGCTACATTAACAAACTGAGCGATTTGAAAACAATACACATACGTTATAATAATTTGCATAAGTTTTACGAATTTTCCCCTTGCTAGCCGGGTTTGCTAACCTCTCACATGAGGAAATTACGCACGGAGAGGTGCAATAATTTCTCAGAATGTTACTCGAAAGAGACTATAAGGTATTTTCTCCCTCCGCTTTGCATGTCTTCGTGGTGTAACGGTAGCACACTCGGCGCGAATTCGAGAGTTCGGGATTCTAGTCTCGACGAAGGCATGGCTCATTTCTTATGTTTCCTGCATTAAAAAATAACATATGAATATACAGTGGCACCCGAACTAAAAAAGGTGGTGGATGATGATTCTTCACTATCAGGATTTGGCGACAGGGTCCCCTAATCCCTGTCGCCCTTCTGTCTTTTCTGCATGCCTTCGTAGTGTAACGATTACACACACGGCGTGTATTCGAGAGGTGAAGGTTCGAGTCCCGGCGAGGGCATTGCTCATTTTTGTGTACTCCTGCTTTAAAATAACCTAATGTCTCTACAGGACATTTATTAAACACAAGAGAGAAGCCATGTTTTACAGAAGATCCTGACTGCATCAAAGTATTTTCTTCTGCATGTGGGGGGAATACATTCAGTTTATTTTAAAACAATTAAAAATAATAAAATAAAATAATTAAGAGCTGCTCTGCTATCATATGCAATGACAAAAAAAAAAAAAAAATATGGTTCTAGACTGTTTCATTGATATAGTTCAAATATATACATATACAGCATTGTGTAATCAGTTTTCATACTGCTTTTTCTTAAGGATAACATATAATTATAATATAAATAAATTTAAGTAAATCATATAAGCATTCGCATCATTATTGAAACAAATAAAAGTTTTTCTTAACGCCATACATCACGTACCCGGGACGTAGACTATTCAATTGCGCTTGCCTGAAAATGATTTTGTTACTATTTGTAATGTAACTTTTTTAACCTGAAACGTTTTTACCAGTCTCTATTTTTATTTGCTTCTTATTTAAACATTTCAGTAATGAGATTTTCATTTTAGAATTTCAGCAAACAAATTTGAGTTATTAGAATAGTACAAATTCTTATCGAACGCTATGTTGGTAGAAAATCACATTTCATCTTAAAATGACATTAAATGAATTCTTGTACACGTTTAAAAACTTTACAATCCATCGCCTTGATTTTTTGAATGTTGATAAAATATATTCTATATTTTAAAATTTCCTTTCCTCTGTTTTAAATTTTCCTTTCTGTTCAATTTTTCCACTTTTTTTTTTAATTAGGCTTAACTTTTTCTTTCATCGGAAAGATTCTAAAAATAAAAATTTGATCTTTACATCAATTTTATTTTATTTTACTTTATTTATTTACCGATTAAATCGTGAATATAAATGTAATTCCTTTTCCTGTTCCAGGGTCACGGTAGCTACGGTTATAATTATGACATCGCTCACTATCCAGGAGGTTCTTCAGTTCACATGGAAGCTGGCACAGGTCACGAAAATCTCCGCTTCGACAACGTAGGGGAATCCAGTCACATTCAGCCTAGATTTCATCATTCAGAAAGACCACTTGCGTCTCCAGCATACCAATCGAAAGCCAGAAATGTCCCTTTTTATGTGGAAAAGGTAACAGCGCCCTCCCAAGGTCTGGCTCAGCATTATGTAGCATCAAATCCTTCAGAAAAAGGATACTTTAATTCAGATGCTACTGCTCCATTCCTTTCTCAGACTCCCATCGATGATTCTAATTACAGATGGCGAAATTCTCCGCCAAAATACCTTTCCCAAAGTATTGAATATCCATCTTACGTGTCTGCACTTCCTAATTCTAAGATTACGCAACGAGTTTCGGATCCATCTCCTTTTTATCCGAAACTTGAAGTAGTTCAAGCAGCAATACCTGATGATCATATTTCTCAAACATTTGAAGATTTACCCTACACGAGTCCAGAAATAAAACCCGTAGTTATTGCTTCTCATTATCCTAAAAAACCCCTCATTTCGACTAATGTTAAATCACCTAAAATTTATAATGATCGCATTTCTCAAGAAAACTATGACTCACATTTCGCAGAAGCTCCACAAAAACCACTCCCTATCCCTCCTCCAGTTAGTCAGACTACTGTCGAATTACCAAATTCTTATGAGCAGACGATTTCTCAAATAGCTGACGATTGCCCTTTTGTAGCTCCTGCGCCAAAACAAAGTCCTTATGAGCAGAAGATTTCTCAGATAGCTGACGATTCACCTTTTGTTAGCCCTGCACCAGAGCAAAATTCTTATGAGCAAAAAATTTCTCAAGTGACTGACGACTCGCCTTTTGTGGATCCTATTCCAAAGCAAAATCTTGGAAAAACTGCCCCTGATTCAGCTGTTAAATCCCCCAAATATGATGATCGCATTTCACAAGGAGTTGATAATTCACCTTTTCTAGAAGTACCCCCCAAATCTGTTGTTCTTATTCCTCAGAGTAAAACCCATAGTTCACCTCAAGTTAAATCGGTAAAAACTAATAACGATCATATTTCTCAAGTAGTTGATGATTCTCCATTTAGAAATCCATATCCACAGCACAATGTTGGAAAGACAATATACGGACCTGTAGCTGTTGCTCGTTATCCTTCCCCAAAATTCATTGCAGCATCCGGCGTTAAATCCACGAAATCATATAATGACCACATTTCGCAAAAGGCTGATGATTCCTCCTATCTAGATGCACCATCAAAGCTTCATACTAAAACCCACGTCACTTCGTCTGGTATAAAATCTCCTAACTCATATGATGATCGCGTTTCTCAGGTAACTTATGATTCACCTTTGATAGATTCAGCTCCGAAGAACAGTGCAGTGAAGACAGTTCCTGGAATTGGTGTCAAATCTCTTAATTCTTATAACGACCGCATTTCGCAAGGCATTGATGATTCGCCCTTTGTAAACCCACCACCAAAACCTGTTGCTCTCTATCCTCATACTAAAACCCATGATATTCCATCCAGAGTCAAATTACCAAAATCCTATGATGACCGGCTTTCCCAAAAGACTGACGATTTTCCTTTTGTAGATCCAGTTCCAAAGCATAGTGCCTTGAAGACAGTTCTCGGACCTAATGTCAAATATCCTAATCCTCATAGCGAACGCATTTCACAAAAAGTTGATGATTCATCTTTCATAAATCCACTACCAAAACCTATTGCTCTTTATCCTCATACCAAAACCTATGGCTTTCCAACAGGCATCAAATCACCAAGTTCTTACGATAAGCGCATTAGCCAAAGAGCTGATGATTTACCTTTCACAGATCCAGGTCCAAAATTGACTGCTGTAAAAACAATTCCCGGCCGTAGTATTAAAACTTCTAATGCTCACAGCGATCGCATTTCACAACGAAATGAGGATTCAGCGTTCGCAGATGCCCCACTGAAAACTGTTATTCAGGCTCCCCAAACTAAAACTCAGAGCATTCCCTCTGTCAAACTGCCAAATCCTTATAATGATCACATCTCACAAACAGCTGATGATTCACCTTTTGTAGATCCAATTCCAAAGCAAAGTGCAATAAAGACAGCTTCCGGACCTGGTGTTAAATTGCCAATCATTTATGATGGCCCAGTTTCACAAGTAGCTGATGATTTATCGTTTGTAGACGGCCCACCAAAACACGTTGCTCTGGCTCCTCGTACTAAAAACATTCCATCTAGCGTCAAATTACCAAAATCTTACGATGACCGTATTTCTCAAGTAACTGATGATTCATCATATACAGATTCAGCTCCGAATTATAATGTCAAGACAGTTCCTGGACCAGTAGGTACCCCTCACGTTCCTTCTCGAAACCCCGCCATTTCCTCAAGTTTTAAACTGCCGCATGCTCATAGTGGTGGCATTTCTCAAAAGGTTCCCGATTCACCAGCTTTGCATCCAATTTCAAATCATAATGCTGCCGAAGTTCTTCCAGTTCAGCCTCATGTTGCATTTGTTCCATCAGGACCTCCTTATACAAGATTTTCTTATGGTACTGAAATAGTTCACCCTAAAGAATTTCAGAACTCAAATACTCAGCTACGCCATGGAAGCCATGATATAAATCATAATCCTGTGTCACATGCAGTGAGATTGCCTTCTAATATACCGGTAAGCCACCCTCAACATCAAACTGACAGGTCCCATGCTCCTGTTTCTCATACGATTAGACTTCCGATTGCTCATCACTCTGCTCCACTAGGTTCTTCAGCAGCCCTAACTTCAGATGAAATTCTAAACTCACATGACAACACAGCAGAAGACGGAATTCCACCGTATCCTTTGTCGCATGCTATTAGGTTGCAACCCAATCGACTTGCTTCATCACCTCTAACAGAAAAAGCTAGCTTAGAGAACGGTTTGAAATTATCTGGAGATTCTTCCGAAGATCTTAATTCTGTGCCTCTAGCGTCTCATGCTATTAGATTACAACCGCATAAGCCCCCTACATCAGGTGAAACAATCTCAATTGTAAAGCCTCAATTTGATGATGATCCAGTAAGCAACATAGAATCTGGAGATAAACTGACGGAAGATGAAGTATTATCATCTCCAGTTAGCCACGCCATCAGGCTGCAGCCGTCTAAAGATGAGTCATCCCTCATTGAAAAGCCAAAATTTATTCATATTTAGATAGTTTTAACATATATAGAGATATATAATCAACGAAAATGGGAAAAGACTGCTTACTGAAAGATATGACACAGTTTTGAATCTGGTATTATGTCAAAATGCTAAAACTAGTTATTTAATTATTTAGCTTTCTTTCCCGTCATAGGCTGATTTTGGTAAATTGCACTACTTATAATGATTCAAAACAAATCAAGCTGATGATAGCCACAAAGTTTTAACATTTAATATTAGCATTTTGGCATCGTTTTGGATTTAATTTAAAGCTGTTCGCAGTAAAGGCAGTGCTATTTCTGTTAATTTTAATATTTATTATTATCATATTCCAAGACCATTATACTCTCATTCAAAATTTAATTATGGCTTAAAAATTCAGTTTAGGGAAAACAGGAGAAATAATTCAAGGAAGACTGAATTGTGAAAGAGAGTTTGCAAAGTACTTACTTTTTACGTGAAGTATGCAGAGCAAATAATAACTGCGAGAAAAAAGTGAATTAAATTTTAAAAAAATAAAGTATAGGTAGAAAACTTAGCTATATTTTAAAATTTGTTATCTTCACTTACAAAATCTGACTTGTGGCATTATTTGAAAGAATTAATTTTGGAAAAAAAAATCAGATATTTAGGTGATGCTAAATATTGAAATAGGGAAGTGATATTTTTTCCTTCAAAATATGTTTCATTTTAATTTTGTTACAAACGTTTTCATTTGTTGTGAATGAGCTAAAACAGGATCGAATTAGAAGACGTGAAAATTATTCTAACTCTAGCCTTTTTTGTTTTCATTTTATAAAAACTGTTGTAGGAGAAAATTTTTACAATTTTTGGATTTAATTTCTCACAAGGCTTCATTATAATTTAGTGGAAATACCATCCCAGTATCATTAAAATAAATATCAACGTACTGTACAGACGATTAAATTTCGTTTCTGTTTATCTGAATATGTTTTAATTAGTTTTAAACAAGCCCCTTCGCTCTGCAGATAAATAAAGTGGCGATTTTAAGTGGCTCATCCATTTCTTGCAACTAACAATGCTGCAGTCGTTGCCCGAGGCTTCGTAGATACCCATACTTTAGCGAATTGTTATTCTTGACAGCGTTAGTTTAAGTAGAGGTCCCAGATCACTTAATAGCCCGGGGCCCATGATTATATTAAGACCGCCTTGAAGACTAAGGATAATAAAGAATGGACAATTATTTAATTTTTGCTAAATAAACGTTTATTTTAAAATGTCTAATAAGATTTCCTTTCATATTTATTTTATTTTGATGTAAGACTGCCAAGCTGAACTGATGAATTTAGTTCAGAAAACTGCCTTTTATGTGTATAACAATTCAAAATGTTCCAGCAAGGCATCAAAGAGATTGTGATTTGTAGTATTTATTTGAATGTTTCAGACATATTTTTGTTCATTTTGCTTTATCTGTGTCTGTAATTACACGAATAGAAATGACAATAAATGTTTTTTTTTTCCTTTTGATTTTAATGATTCTTAATTTCAGCACAGGAAGTAGTGTTTAAATTCAAACGAATCCTGTTCTGGTGTTTCTCTCTTTTTATGAAAAATCATAATTCTTACGAAGCTTCATGAAATAGGTTCTAGGAAATAGGTAAACGTTTTAATATTAAACTAAATATCAGTACTAAAAAAATCTGAAAGCATTCAGATTTTATATTAAGCCCAAACGAGCGCTTTTTTTCATTTAAAGACACATACACGTTTCGAGAGCATTTGGGCTAAAACTACTTAAAAAACAGCAAATGTTTAGAATTTTCGATAGACAGTCTCGGCGCGCTGGAAATAAAAGTCTTTTATTCCGTACAGTGCTGCCAATGCTCACTTTCAAATCGTTGAGTTTGTTAATCAAAAATTCGTTAAAGGTTTACAAAACATGAAATAAACAGTAAAACAAATTTCAGATTCCAAATTCGGGCTTCGAAGTGCCCATATTCTGGTGGAGGACTATATTATTCAAAATTTTATTACTCTAGCTAACGTTGTTTTTCCACAGCGAGAGAAATGTACATACATTCATGCAGGTTCTTTATTATTTAATTTCTTTAAATATAATACAGGCCATAATATTTGGTGGCAACAATTTGAAAAGTGATACACTCGTTTAAACTGATTTGACGCAAAATGCTGTTTCGAGACTAAAGGCCTTTTTGATAATGTTCTTTTTGAAAATAATGTTACCCATGTAATAGTTCTTTTATAACTTAGTTAAGTCTTTATAAGTTGCACTATCTACTGAATGTGTACTTGTCTTACTTTTTCTAAGAAGACACGGGAAGTGTTGAATGTTTGTAGAGCAAAAAAGTTAAAATTAACGAAAGAACATTCCAATTTTCTAACGAAACTTGTAAGAGATTCGAGGCTTGAAATTCGAAGCCTCCTGCATATCACATCATTCAATATTTTGAATCCTAATTTAAAAAATATTAAAAATTTTAATTCAATTTTTAAAAGATTATTTTTGTTGACATTCGATGGAAGAATTCATTAAGAAAAGATTTGCATTTTTCGTTACCTTTTTAACTTTGCGTAGACAAATTTGTTTTATTTTGATGGTTTTTCGTAGTAACTTTTCCGTTGTTCCGCAATAAACAAACTTGTCTCCATTCCCAGTAATTAGGAATTGATTGTTAATTCCATAAAGAAGCCTAAATTTGAAAGAGTATGAAATGTGGTCTCGGAAAAGAGTAATACTGTATAGGAAAATCAAAGAAATTTTCCTTGCACTTTTTAGCGTGAAATTCTAAAGAATATTACTCGTATATGATATTTAATACAAAAATGGCTGGTTATTATACCGTAACAGAAGATAGAGCTACCCAGTTCACCGAAGTTACGACAGATGGCGTCTGGAATTAAGTTCTTAATTTAACTTTTTTTCAAGAATAGGTCGTTAATATTAAACCATATCTCTCAAAAGGTTTACGAATCTCAGAGTTAGAAAAGGGATAAAAATAATAAAATAAACTTTTCATCTTTGAAAATGTCGGTCAGATGTAGAAAATTAACCTGTTTGTCAGCAATTAAGGCGTTTGAGCAACCTGTTTGTAACGATAATAAAAGAAGAGGAAAGGAAGAGTGAAATTACTTTCCCTTTTAAAATGAATAAAAACATTTTGTTGTACAAAAATCAGAGGTATCACAACTGGAGTTTTAGAGAGAAAACAAACAAAAATATTTAGAAAAAATTCTGTTTTTATTCATCATAGAGAATTTATTTCATGGTATTATCATTAAACATGAGTGTCATATTACGGTAAAAACATAAACGTACTAATTACGAACATTCAAAAAATTAGAAATTAATTTACAAACGAAATTATAAAAAATTACGCCTAAAGGGGCGTTTTTTTCCATTGCATACACATACACGTTTCGAGAGCATTTGGGCTAATCTTCCTTTCGGCTAAAAATATTTAAAACTGCCTATCTTTAGAATTTTCTACAGACAGTCTTGCGCACTACATATAATTTTTTTCCTCCCCCGTACAGCGTTGCCATTGTTTGCTTTAAAATCATTGAATTTTTTAATCAAAAATTCGTTAAAGCTTTACAAAATATGAAATAGGCAATATAAAAAATTATAAATTCAAAATTCGGGCTTCCAGGTGTTCATATTTGGATGGAGGGTTACGTTATTCAAAATTTGATGGCTCTAGGTACCATTGTTTTTTCGCGATGCGAAAACCATTCGTATACATTCATACAAATTCTTCATTACTTATGTTTTGTATTAGCTGAGAAATACTTGCCGACAGAGCAGAATCTTGGCTAATAGCGCATGCGCCACCAGAATTGGCGCTGAAATATATTCTGTGAGAGACTTGACTTTTGTGGTACATTCGAAGTTGCGATTCATATGTTACGCTAGCTCCAGATTGTCGCTATGGAAAATAAATGTATTGAAAATTAGAGCGTGTTATTTCTGTGTAATGTGTGTGGTGTTATTTTATTGTGATATATAGCTATCGACGGGAATTGAATTAAGTCAATGCAACTTAATTTCTTTAAATATAATTCAGGGCGATAATATTTGGTGGCAACAATTTGAAAAGAGATTCAGCCTTTTATAGTGATTCAAAGCAAAATTTCTTGTTGAGAATATTAGCTCTTCTGGGCTAACGCTCCTTTGGGTTAAAAACAAATTATTTTTTCTTCACACAGTTCAGCTATCACATGAAACAATTTATGATATTTACATGTCCTTTAGGTTTCGTTGATAACAAAGCTACTGACAAAGAAAATTTGAGAAGCTTGAATTCTATCTCATTTTACCTACCGCGAACTTATATTCATAAGTAATAGTGGTAATTAATTAGTTCAAAAATTTGATAATGAGTTTTAAGTGAATAAGCACGAACTAGGGTCCCCACAATGCATTTTTACTATTTTTAGAATGTTGTATATCTGTGTGTCCGTGTGTCTTTGTGTATGGATGGGACGATATTTTCATCCACGAGAACTCTTATATGACACTTCCAAATGATTTGATTTTCCGTATTTAAGCTTTGTGCATTAGTATAAAGAGTTGATTAGATTTTGGGTAAAATTGGACAACCGGAACTGGTACTTTATATAACGCCCATAACAGTTTTTAATGGGCATCCGGAAGTGATCTTACTGGCTGCCCACAGCAGTTTTTAATGAACATGTATTTGGTTTAAACTGACAAACAGCAAGTGATACTTTACATGAAGCTCTGAACATATTTTGTGAAAAAATATATTGTTACGTGCGTGCGGGTTCGCAATAGATTGAATGCACACAACTCCGATGAGAGGTTGATAAAATATATTTTATCAAAATAAACACTTCAGAGATCTAAAACTTTCCACAAAAATAGTGGGACATCTCTTCACAGTATCACAGAGTACAACCAGTAGTTACACTTCAAACTACTATGAACGTTATAGACAACGGAATGGTGGTGTATGGTGTATTTAATTATGGCAAAGCACACTAGGGCTATCTGCCTAACGGGAGAGATGCCTTCGTGGAGGACTTTCTAAGGGAAACTGGCTCGTATACACGTTACACATGTGGAAAACCACGAAAACGCCCATGCAGCCAGCCCGTTCGCGGGATTCGAACCTTGGACCGAACTACCAGTGTTCAGTGACTTTACCGCTCGGCCGCTGGTGGGCGACAACGGAATGGAAAACGCAGTCAAAGAGCGAAACTATACTCGGAACTTACGCTGAAATAACAATAACAGCTAAAAGCAGATGCAGTCAACCGGCCTTATATAGTTTTCACCCTGCCGCCGAGATATTTCGGCAGGGTGCTTTCTGCTTCTCGAAATTACTAAAAAGCAATATGAATGTCGAATTACGGTTGCAGCTAATATAGTGATCAATTACATTTATTCCATTACAGTACCTATAGTGATACGGGGATCGGAATAAAATTTCGACAAATGGTCGCCAACTCTGGCGACTTTGGCAAATTTTAGCCTAATTTGGAGGCAAAATAAGTCGCCAAAACCGTTGTCAGCTTGGCCATATCTCGCCAAATTACCATTTACGCAATGTTAAAAGGACTTGCCCCTGTATTCTTACTTTTCCGGCATAGCTTCCCTATCTCTATTTTTCATATTACATTACGCAGAAATTAGAATAATTTCACAAACAACTGCACTAAAATTACCTATCTATATACAAAATTCGCAACATTGCTCCCCTCCCAAGAAGTGCATGTCCCGGGCAGTACAATCCCGGAACAGGAAGCCATAGTTACAACTAAAAAAAATTAGAGTAATACTAAAACAATAATTTCAGTAAATAACAAATCAATTACTAAATCAACAACTGAGTACATAAACTTACAAATTTATACACAAATAGGACCATGGTCTTATACTATTTACATTATGTACACTACGTACTATGGCCATAGTAAAGAGCTAAGCTGTCGTAATGAACGACTTCAGGCTTAGAATTCGATGATTTAAGAATCCGAATTACGACGTCGTTCAGCTTGTTTAGGACTGTGTAAGAACCATGCCAAGGTGACTGTAGTTTGGAAGAGAGACCTTTCCGTCAAATCGCATTCCACAGCCACAACTTGTCACCTTCGTTGAATTCTTCGTTGAATCTTGTAACTCGTGTGTTACATCAGGTCTTCACCTTCTCCGTCGCCAAGCTGACTCACTCTGGTGCAAAACTGTGCTTCACTTCAAACAGTGGCTGGAGATCATGTATGTACTCCTCAGGCAAAGAAGGCGCATCCACAGGGAGATCAAATAAGATATCACAAGACAGACGAAGGTCTCGACCGAAGCGTATCTGGGATGAGGAATAGCCGGTAGTCTCGTGGACAGCAGTGCGGTAAGCCAATAAAACAGTGGTAACTTCTTGTTCCAGTCATGTTGGTTTCTGGAAACCACCAGCTAGAGGTTATTAAGGATGATTCGATTAAACCTCTCTACCATGCCTTCTGACTGGGGATATAAAGGTGCTGTTTCA